CGCGGTCCGTGAGGGCCGCGGTAGCATAATTGGTCAGTGCATTCGCCCGGATTGCGAAGGGTGCGGGTTCGAGTCCCGTCTGCTGCCTGGTCCGCGTGGAATTTTTTCTAGTTATATTTTCTTTAGATTTAAACATCAAGCAGTTACATGCTTTAAAAATAATAAAAATTATAAATGTGTAGTAGTTTGCGGAAAAATGTAAAGAGATTTTGTGTAACAATCCGTCATGCCAGACACGGTCAAACGCCTGTGAAATGTCCAAGAATGCAGCGGTGCAAAACTGTTTATTTTCAAATGTAGTATTGATTTTGTGTACAATTCGATGAACCTGCTCAATAGTTCCATGCGATGCTCGGAAACCAAATTGATGGTCAGGAATAAGTTTGGCTTCGCTTATATGTAGTTTAAGTCTTTTCAAGAATAGCACCTCCAGAATCTTTGAAGGTACAGGTAAAAGACTGATTGGTCGATATGATGTTACGCTTTCAGGAGGTTTGCCCTGTTTATGAATGAGAATAATCTCAGCTACTTTCCATTGAGGGGGACAGAAACTTCTTAACAATATAGCATTATACAACTGTGTTAGGAATACAAGGCCAATATCTGGAAGCTCACGTAGTACTTTAGCGGTTATTAGGTCATACGGGGGGGCTTTATGCACTTTGAATTTTAAGATTGCTGACTTAACTTCCCGTTTGCTAAATTTAGGTATTGGTAAGTCCATTTGGTAGGTCTTATTTAATTGGTCCTGCACAGTTTTTGATTTTGTACCAAGGTCGGGGTTGGGTTTGAATACTTGACTTAGGTGTTCAGCAAAGATTTGGGCTTTTTCTGCGTCGGTTTTAGCCCATGTTCCGTCTTCCTTGCGTAAAGGGGACTTGTATGTTTTAGGCTGTCGTAACTTTTTCGTAGCCTTCCATAGAGAGTAGTTTGTTGCACTAGTTGCATCCAGGCCTGTCAAGTACTTTTTGACACTAGTATTTTTATTTTCTTTTATTAGTTCCTTCAGTTCGTAGGTAAGTTTATTAAAAATGGTTTTATCAGCAGGATGACGAGTTTCTTGCCATTTTTTCCTAGCTTTCCGTTTTCTTTGTATATAGTTAGCGATTTCCTTGGGATATGAAAAATTTGATATTTGTAGGCAAGGCGTTGGAGTTGCAGCCCATCCGGCTTGCTGGATGCAACTGTTAAACATTTCTACAGCTTCGTATAAGTCATTATCCGATTTAAGAGGAATATCTGTAATTAAATTTTTATTCACTTCTTCTCGAAAGTATTCCCAGTTAGTTTTGTTTGTATGTAATCTACACTTAGGTTTATTATTATTTACTTCCTTATGTATGTCAATAATAATAGGAGAATGGTCTGAATGCAAGTCATAATTTGTATAACATACTATTTTTGATTCTGACAGTCCTTTGCTTACGAAAAAGTCTACAAGATCAGGCTTGCGTTTTAAGTCCGTTGGCCAGTAAGTTGGTTCTCCAGATGTGATTATAGTTAAGTTAAGAGCCAGAGAAGCCCGATAGAGTTCACGACCTTTGACTGTTGTAATTCTGGATCCCCATATTGTATTTTTAGAGTTGTAATCACCTCCCGCAATAAATCTCTGTCCAAGTGTTTCAAAGAAGTTTATGTAGTTTTCATATTTGAGATTATGTTTAGGTGGCATATACAGAGCAGACATTGTTATTTTTCCATTACTGTCTTCTATTGTTATGTTCGTCGCTTGGATAGCTTCAGTGCAGTAAGAGTCCGCCTTGTAATGCTTAATGTTTTTGCGGATGAGTATGCCAGAGCCTCCATGTGCATTGCCATCAGGGTGCATAGTGTGATATAGATCGTATTTTGAGATTTTAAAGAAGCTTTTAGTCGTAAAGTGAGTTTCGGAAATTAATAATATGTCTATTTTATTTGTGTTTAGAAATGTTTCCACTTCAAGAGTGTGATTTGAGAGCCCATTGGCATTCCAAGTTGCGATTCTTAGTCAGCTGATTTGGGTGTTCCGGGTCAGCTGAGTTGTCAGGTTGACCAGGAGGTTAGTGATAGTTGTCATTTGTTGCATGATTTGTTTAAACATTTCCATCAATTGTTGTGTGTCTGACTTGTCTGTCTGTTGTGTCAGATTTTGTGATGATAAAGGGGTATTATCTTTTGAAGGGGGTTGTTTAGTGGTATAAGTTTTCTTTTTGTTGCCGACTACAGTTGCGTAACTTGGTTGGTCGTCTATGTTAATTGTTGGGAAGCTTTTTGTAATTTCTTTCGTCTCGTGTTGTTTATTGGCTTGACGTGATTCTCTTGGAATTTTTCGTGCATTTGGAAACTTTTGACTAAATAAATCTTTGTATACTATGCAGCCTTTGTAATTTGCGGGGTGGTTTCCTTCGCAGACTGCACATTTGACAGTGTCCGATCGCTCTGTACGAGAACACAAAGCCGTTTTGTGAGTTCCAGCACATTTAATGCATTTTGGTTTGCGTCTACAATATGCTTTAGTATGGCCATATTGTTGGCAGTTAGCACATTGGGGAATGCTACGAGTTGGACGTGGTGGCTCTATTGTAACTGCTTGTCCCAGAAGCACTCTAATGTCGTAAATTTCTTTGTTGTTGCTTTTTTGTAGTATTTCAACTATAAACATACGCAATGGGTTTTTAGTGACTCTCTGCTTCATGTTCCAAATATTCATGACATTGTGACCGTATTTACTAAGGGCAATTTTAATTTCTTCTAAGTCTGTAGAAGAGTGCATATTTTTAACAATCACTTTAAAGTATCTTTCTTGCTTAGGTTTGTATGTGTAAAATTCAGTACAGTAGGACGCCGATTATCCGAATTAATTGGGACCGGGGTCGATTCGGATAATCGAAAATACGGATAATCGGACATAGACAAGTAATAAAGAAAAATGAACTGCCACACATAGAATAAACTTTATTACGTTTAACAAACACATTTCTACAATACTAGATACAATAATAGAGGTACATAGTAGCAAAACAAAATTAAGAACAGTAAAACATGTAGTGTCTTGCCTCTAGCTTTCAACCATTAACAGTTGATATAAATATATATAGGTATTTAACATACTCGCTGGACTTTAGCGAGTTCCAACTTATTAGAACAAAACTTAGTTTTAATTTTTTATTTTACGCTTAGGACCGATTCGGATAATTGGCGATTCGGTTATTCGGCGTTCGGATAATCGGCGTTCTACTGTATCTTTCTTTTTAAGTTCTTTTACAATGATTTTATAAGCATCTGATGTTTTAGGTTGAATTTTGACTTGATCATTTCGTAGTATTCTTAATTCATAATTCTCATTAGAACATTCGTTTAGTCAGATTGAGAGTGGTTTAATATTGGTAACATTGTCTACAAAAATAGGAGGAGGCCTAGCCTCTTTTTCTTTCGGTTAAAGTATCATCGTCCGGTAGGTTTTCAAAGGAGTTAGAAGTTGGTATCGGTTGGCGATATTTAACGTGATATTTATCTAGTAATATTTTCTTATACTACACACCCGATACGAATCACGTCAGTACGACAGTAAATTTCATTGAGTACACTCGTAAGTTTCGTATTACAATATAAATAAAGCTATGAGTGATAATATAAAATACACAAGACTTTGGATTGTACATAGGGCAACTTAAAAATAACAACTTTTTTTCTATCAAATATAGTATTTCCGAAGCTGTTACCTCTAAAATATAGTAGAAAGCAAAAAATTGGAAAAACATATAGTATGTGATTAAAATATTTACTTTATTTTTAAAATGCGTATATTTTTTGCTGCTCTATACCTTAATAATACAGTTTTTATTTTTAAGAAAGCTTTTATTGGCAAAAACCTGCTTTAAGCAAAATATAGTAGTTTCGCCTGCTTTATATTTTTTTAGGAATATAGTATTTGATCCCCTAATATAGTAGGATACTATATTATATAGTAGAGTTGGCAACCCTAATTGTACACATTTTCCGTAGAAGCACCAGATCGCTTCGAATCGGTTATTTTTTTAATTCTTTCCTATTTAATTCGATTTTAATGAGTTTATCTTCGCAATGATATCTTTGGTAGGCGCGCCAGGTTTAATTCTTTTTTAATTTCAAATAGTTGCTCATAGGCATTCGCCCTTTTCACTTTATTTACAGTGTCGGCACTTGAGCTGTCCCATACCTCTGGTAGTGTTTTAACACTAGTATGAATTCTTTCAAGTGCTTTTGGTAGTTTGTATGAGGTACGGCGGGCGCCGCCGCCTCAATATGCTCGTCCTCTTCCATCGCTGACAATATTAATACTGACGCAACAAATATCGATTAGAGACTAGACGCTCGATATTTATCAACGATACTTGATACAAATCGTGGATTTTAGGATTTCTAGAAATCCAGAGACTACAGACTCGATAAATATCGTGATCCTGGATTACGATCCCAATATCACGTTAAATATCGAGCGTGTAGCATTCGCCTAAGAAAAGACATGAAACAGCACGCGGAGCGTATACTCCCGCTTAAGACAGCAGTAACTCTAAGGCTGGAGCACGGAGCGGACGTGCGCTTCGGGCGCCGTTCCATGTAATTTTATGGTGGCACTGCGAGAGTTAGGTGTCCGTCGAGGGTCCCGCGACGGAGGTCCTGTTAGAACCTACCTACCTAGTACCTACTACTGAAATGTTGCTGACTTATCTTAATTAGTCTTGTTTCTGCCTGCCCGTTGGCCTTCAGCAAGGAACTATCCACTGACCTAGTAAACTAGCCCATCGCGAGTCCATTATGCTTCATCGTAGGGGAAGTAGTAGTGAAAAGTAAAGTGTAAATAATTATTAAATATATATGTTAATAACACGAAACAAACACGCGGGACGTACGTCAGATCAACGCAACGCACGCCCTAACATTGTCATTTAACTTAAGGGTTTCAGGATAATGCAAAGTGCATTTTATTATCCTGAAACCCTTAATTAATGTTCATTTATCTAGTATTTTTTTACTTTCAGAATAGCACAACTGTGTGAAAAATGGGAAAAAGTTTTGAGCCATGGCATTAGAACCAATTTATCAACGTCAGCATTACAAAATTTGGTGGCTGCCGGCTTAAACTTTACATTCAATATCGTTAATATAGGTATGTTGGGGCTAGGCTAATAGGGAAGATGCATATATAATATTTATGAAAATTTTATGATTAAAATGTAAAAAAAATATAAAAGAAATGCCACTGCAACTTTTTTATTTTACATAATGTAGTTTTTTAACAATTATTACGAATAAAAAATACTTGAAACGGAACGTATTTTAAAATACCAATCAGCGTTTAGTGACGTCACTCCTGTTATGACAACTTCTTTGAGGTTATGGTTGTTAAAGTAAATATTATTTTATGGGAATATTTATTGCGTTTTTTTACATTTAATAAAAATGGAAGTTGCGTTTATCAAAGCAGACTCCAGGAATTTACCAAGAGTTAGCGTTGCCATGGTTATAACTTTATTTGTCCAAAGTGCAGAGTTTTTAAGTGTAGAAATGTAAGGGACTAAATTACTACGGTATGTAAAAATCGTAGTTGTTAAACTTCGTATTTTATTCAGCGGCTTTTACAAATCTTACGGCGACAATGCAATCGGCTATGTCCAAATTAAAAGAGATGGAAAATTATGTACAGTAAAAAGTCGAGTTCTCCGGAGCATAAAGTACGTAAAGAAGGTTATCGTGTTACAGTTATTTTAAATGAAACGCAAAGCTTGGTTCAGTCCTGCCAATGTGAAGATTGTGCCACACATTTTAAACTTTATCTAATTTTCGACGTCATTCTCCAACTGTAAAATTAAAAATATGTTATAGACAGGTTTTGTAAGTATTAGGTAGGTTACTAATGCGTTTTTACGTACAAGCAGATTAATTAAGCATATAACAAGTATATTCGCCGAATTACGTCAAAGTGATCTTCTCAGCATCGAATAATGGTCTTTGGAGAATAATTGTCATTTCTCTTCGCAGCTTGAAACCACTTTTTTTCAGTTTTGGGTCAGAAGTTCCAGTCAAAAACAATTTATTTGGGAACTTTGTTGAAGTAGATTGGCACAAAACATGAGTCAACACGGCTTTTTTTCGGAATATTAGTGGTATTGTTATGATCACATGATGTTGATGGATAGTCCATTTTAAATTTTTCAAAAAAATATTTCGAAAGTCGAAAAAATATGCAAAAGTATGAAAATTTAAAGCCAGCAACGAACAATTACGACCAGTGACAGACAGGAGTGACGTCATCGCAACCATAGGTTTGTTTTCGCGCGAAAATTTAAATTGTCAATTTAAAACCGCATTTTTTCCGATAAATCACAATGTTTTAATTTTTTAATATATTTGTGGTTTATTCTACATGGAATTCTTTAAAATGAAAACAAAAATAAAAATATTGCATCTTCCCTATTGGTGTCAGTGTAAGAAAATATTTAAATTACTTATAGTTATTTTCCGATATTCACGTGAACGAGGTCGCGAACAGCTAGTACATTTAATCTGAAATATCTGTAGACATGCCATGTATTAACAAAAAAATTACTGATCAATATGAATATCGTAATGCCGATACAGATGTCACATGAGAAGTTGGCCTGACAAAAACAATACGATACTGACAATTGGGTATACTATATTATATCGGGCTGCAGCGCAGCGCAAAATGCTTTCTTAGTAGCACATCATTGACGGGCCGAGTCGCAGTGCATTGACAGATTTTAAGTACAGTGTACTGCCAGGTGTCTGTGCAACGTTATGCACTTTCAATCCCCCTATAGCACACTGTGGGGCGCAGCGGGGTTGGGGCGGGCAATCAAAATCCTCGGCGTAATACGCGGCTGGCTGCGCCCCGACATGTTTGAGATAGTTCATATAAAATACATATGCGACCCGACAATGTCTGCTTACCTAATGGTAAGTATACTCGACGAAACCAGACACTAGACAATGTATATATGGAATGTCCCTGTGCGTCCACTGCCGCGACACTTAGTTGCAGATGTAGTGGCGATGTCGCTTAGTGTCCGTGTCGCAGCCGCCTATTGTCTCCACGACAGGACGTGCAACAGGCAGACAATACACTTGAACCGCGACACTAAATATTTACACTAATGTCGACACAAAATATTGCTTACCGTATGGACGCTATCGACACTAGTGTCGGCATTTATGTCGAGTGTCAGTGTCGTCGTGTATCTGAAGCATTAACAAGTGTATTTGTTGTGTTTTGATGACCATGGAATTTGTTTAAGGAAACTCACTATGGAGCTATACTTGTTTACATCTTACAAAACACGAAAAAGAAAGATTTAAGATCCTTTCAAATATCAACACCCCACTTGGATACTTCAGAGCATTCCTCCGAGCTACATTGAATGAGAGGTCATTAGAGAGGTAAATTTATTCTATTATATTATTTGTTACAACTATATTAATTTAATAATATTTATTGCGGGTTCAGCGATGTTTCTCATTAAAAACCAAACCATATCACCTATTGTTAAAAGCCTTTTGCTTTTACGTCACTAATTTTAATTTATCAGGTGTTTTTTGTTCAATGAAAATTTTTGTAGTAATTGTTTTTAAAGAGCTGAGTAGTCTAAAACTTCTCAGGCGAATCATTTACTTTGTGTTTAACAATAAATGTGATGACTACTGTAAATTGAGTCTTTTTTAGGTATCTCCAAAGTTGGGTTTCCCACGGTCTTCTCATGGAGTATTATGAAGACGGGGCTCTAGTGAGAGACGCAGAAGCCTCAAACCTTCTTCCAAACATGGCAGCTGGTACTATATCTACCCCACTATACATATGTTATTTTTATCAAAAACTACATTTTGATAAACTTGTTGGTTTACATTGTTATAGGCTTATCTTCCACACTATTCGCGTTATCAATCGACAGAGGTGAATTGAATGAGTCACAGCAACCGAATCAAATTAGCAAAGCTGAACATGTTATACCTCTTCCTGTCCCTGTGAAAACTAGTAACATGAAACGGAAACCATTGCGCCAAGTTATATCGTTTGACAAAACTGAACAAAAGAATCACGCCAAAGACAAAAGACAATCGCTACGGTCCATAGACCAAACTGATACGGACGTGTGGAAGAGTGCACCAGCCACTTGTCTGAATTCACCAGATCCAAAAGAGACTGCTCACATTACATCGAGTAGTGAACCGACCAGTTCCGAATGTAAAACTGGCATAAGACACTTTTTCCCCGACAGTGTCAAAGGGATAGACAGTCCATCACAAATACTCTCCAAACTCTCAGAATGTGCAAAAGAAATATTCACCTCCTCCAACAGTATTGAAACGAACCATGTAGTTAAGGATGACCTATCCGAATTAAGTATTAACAATTTGAAAATATCTGAGAGTGACAGTGAGGAAGTGGCTGGCAGCATCGATGGCAGTACTTCATGCTTAGAGCTTTGCTTTACCGAAGACGAGAGTGTTCCCGATGAGAAGATGCTGAGTTCAATTTTAGAAAATAGGGAGAAAGAATATTTGGATTTGCAGATTAAATATAATCAAATAGAGTTAAGTAGTAAGGAAAAGATACACAAGTTGGAGAAAGTAATATTAGATCTTAGCAAGTGAGTTAAATTTTCGTTATTAAATCCTAAATCGTTGGATTCCTAGTGTACATTGTAGTTGTATCGAAACGATCTTCCTACTAAATAAATAATACTTATACACGTATTATTTTATTCTTCTAGAGAAAACGATAGGCTAAAAAATCAATTACGGAAGTATATGTCGGCCGTTGAAATGGGCAAGGCTTTAAAAACTGAAGGATGTGACAATGAAGAAGTTAGTCAATACGAGAGAAAGTTGGTTCAGGTGTGTATGGACCTTATTAGCTTTTGAATATTACATACTTAACATTAGTCTATAATATTCATAAATATACACGAATATTTCTACTTCCTACTAATATATTAAAGGTGAAAGTTTGTATGTTTGTTGCTCAATCACGCAAAAACTACGGAGCGGATTTAGATGAAATTAAATACGCATATAGTTTATGACCAGGATTCAGCTATAGGATACTTTTTATGCCGGAAAAGTGTAAGGTTCCTGAGGGGTTTTCAAAGGACTAAAGTTGTCGCGGGCGGCCGCTAGTATTATTATATTTTCTCGAAGATCAAATCGCTAGTCCACTCCTTATAATATGCCCAAATTTGTAATTTTTTTTCGCTTGATAGTTTGGCCGCCTGGGTGCGGAAGGGTAATTTGCTGTGTCGTTAATAAAAAAATTAAGATAGAAAAAAATCCACGCGGACTGGGCAGTGGCAGCGCCATCTCCTGTTCCAGCCAACTTCCTATCGCCATAAATATATAGGGGTTGGTGGTAGAAGGGTGAAAATTTAGGGTTGTATGTATTTTTGTATGATGTATCATAAAAAAATAAAAACAAAAAATTATGTCCAAAAAAAAATTTAAGTGTTACCCTTAACATTTAGGGGGATGAAAAATAGATGTTGTCCGATTCACAGACCTACTGAATATGCATATAAAATTTCACGAAAATCGGTCGAGCCGTTTCGGAGTACTTCAATTACGCGCACCCGTGACACGTGAATTTTATATATTAGAATAATGATTTCCAAAAACATTAATACTAGAACAAAGTGTATATCACAGGTTGCTGAAATGCACGCAGAGCTCATGGAGTTTAACCAACACTTACAGAGGAGAGTACAAGAATTAGAGAGCACGACGCTAATGGAAATTTTAGACTGTCCCGAATCTAATGTCAAAGTTCACATTCCGACGGCATTCCTTGTGGGAAAGAAATCTCATTCATATCACGTTTACCAGGTATGGTTGATGTAATTTTTCCCATAATCATAATCAAACTCATTTATTCAGTTTAGGCTGTTACAAGCGAGTGCTTTCATGAGTATGAATATCTAGAAGCTACGCCATCGGTTCGTAAATCTACGGCGGGAGACCTTGTACTGAGAAGAACCGGCAAGAAACGCAGCAAGGGCAGTATTTTTCTCCCTGTTTTATTATTTACAGGGTCGTTAAGTTGAAAAATTACTTCAGAGATGATTCATGAAGTCTCCTTTCTTTACATGATGTGAAATTATTACATTAATTGTTCACCTGCATTTTGATTGCTGTGTCATAACAGTATAAATACAATTAGTGTTATTTATATTAGGTGTAACTAGACATTTACATCTTAAATATCAAAGTAGTTAGGGCACACTCATCAACCATAGGGCTTTGACTCTTTGCTGGCATTAAAAATCATCAAGATCAGAGAAAAACGAACGTTTCAGTGGAGTTCACGCGCCCGCCACAAAAATAAGAACTATGCCTTCTATGTAAAAACGAAATAATTATATTTATATAGATGATGAAAAGTAGGGACTGGCTGTATTATTTGGTTAGAAAACCATGCCAGCTTATAATAAGAAAAATGTTATATTACAGATATTCCTTAAAGTCGCCCAAGAAGAATGGAACGTGTACCACAGATACGCGAAATTCCACGAGTTGCATACGCAGTTGAAGAAATGTCACCCAGACATTGCATGTTATAAATTTCCACCAAAGAAAACTTTAAGGAAGAGGGTATGTGGACATCTTTTGAATATTATTATTTTACTAAATTTCACTTAAAAATACACTTTTTACCAGATTGCTCCTCCATAGTATAATACCTACGTATATACGAATGTACGCTACAATAACTAGAGTCGAACTGATATAAGCACCTTGAACTATTTATTAACAAGTGACGTCAGTGCATCTTTGGTAGAAACTGCTTTATTCAATAACTAGCAGCGGCCCGCGACTTCGAACGCGTTAACTTTGGTATTTTGAGAATCCACAGGAACCTTAAAAAAACCGGTCTAAAAAATATCCTATCTTTCAATTCAGTTCCTAAACTATAACCTCAATCAAATCTAAATCTGTAGGCCTATTCGCTAACTGCTTTTGACAGATGGTAGTGATCTACTGCTTTTTTATAACGCTATCATGATACTTGTTCCGGAAAGCATCGATGGATATGCAATTTTCTTTTTAGTTACACACTGTAAATGTCAAAAAAGTTAGCGAATACGCTGGCTGGTCAAGGTAGACCACGTGCAAATGATACTCTGTTAACCCACGCAAGAGTCTATGGCAGACGTTTGAGAACGTCTGCCATATTCCACACTACCGCCATTATACACATTTCGAGTACCGCCCACTTTGTACACGACTGCCCAAAAAAGGTTTATTGTTTTAAGGCTTCACGTATATATGTATGCACGTACAATTCATTATTCCGCCATATCTTCTAATTTTTTTTTATATTCGGCACGTGGTGCTTGTGTTGCCCTTCAACTTTATATTACTAGTTATTTAGTATAGATTATGACGACGGACGCAAATATTGGTTGATGCGTATTTCAGGACGCAAGCTTAGTGGAACTGCGTCGTATCGCCCTTCAAGCGTATCTTCGGCATGTTGTGCTTGTAATGCCCTTCAGCTTTATATTACTTTTTCAGTTCTTTTGAACAGCTTTTAGAAGATTGCGTCCCTTCTTACGACCATTCCCTGATCATGGGTGACTTCAACACTTGTCTTTTGAAAGGTGATTTTCGTGCCACCTCCCTCCAATCCGTTGTCAGTTCATGTAATTTACACATCCTTCCACTTAGCGCTACCCATCATTTCCCAAATACTACTCCTTCACTTCTAGACTTATTAATAGTGTCTTCTCCTCAACGTGTTATGAAACATGGTCAATGTTCGGCGGATGCATTTTCATATCATGACTTGGTTTTCTTATCATACAAGTCCAAGCCCAGAGTCATTCTTCAGCGGAATTTTGGTGGTATGGATCGGGATGCGTTTCTCAAAGACGTGCATGGAGTCGACTGGTCGTTGGTGACTGATGCCGTGACTGTGGACGAACAAGTATCTTCTTTTAATAATATAACCACACTTTACGATAAACATGCACCGTTTCGTCCCATTAAACTTAAGCACCATCCAGCACCTAGGCTAACACCAGATATAAAAGCATTGATGCACAAAAAGAACGTAGCTAAGAGTAAATATAAAATTCGTCCGACAGACTCCAATAAAACTAATTATGTCAAGGCTCGTAATCACTGCAACATGGTGTAGGGATGCTTTACGTCGCCATATTCATGCTTCTGTCAATAATAATGATCCTTCTAAAGTGTGGAACTTTCTTAGGTCACTTGGAATTGGTAAAGCTCGTCAAAAGTCTATTCCTAGTAACGTCGATATAAATTCACTTAATATTCACTTCTCTTCATCGTCTAGTCTTAGTGATTCACACAAGACTAATACTTTAAATTTTCTTTTATCTTTATCAGTTCCTGACTACTCACCTTTTGTCTTTACTCAATTCACCGTATGTGACGTTAGGAAAGGCATGCTATCCATATCTTCCAATGCGGTAGGTAATGATAGCATAAGTCGTTATATGCTGATACCTATCCTAGATATAATCCTTCCTATACTTACCTTTCTTTTTAATAGCTCTTTAGCAAACGCTGTTTTTCCATCGACTTGGAAAGAAGCCCAAATCATCCTTTTGCCCAAAAAATCCAATCCTCAATCTTTTGCCGATTTTAGGCCTATTTCTATCCTTCCCTTCTTATCTATAGTCCTCGAACGTCTGGTTCATAACCAATTAAATACATTCCTGTCTCGTCATGACCTTTTAAATCCTCTCCAATCTGGTTTCCGTCCTGGGCACAGTACCACGACTACCCTCTTGAAAATCACAGATGACATTCGCCTTGGGATGGATCAAGGTCACCTAACGGTACTGACATTATTGGACTTCAGCAATGCCGTCAACACTGTTAATTTTGACATTCTTCTGGCGTTGCTGCGCTCGCTTAACGTATCTCCATCGGTGATTGAGTAGTTTCGCAGTTATTTGCAGGAGCGCAGGCAGAGGGTTCACCTCGATGAGATTTTTTCCTCATGGTGCGACACTTCCGCTGGTGTTCCCCAAGGCGGCGTTCTATCTCCTCTTCTTTTCGCTATATTTATTAATTCTATTCCCAAAAATATTTCTTCTTCCTACCACCTGTATGCAGATGATCTTCAATTTTATAGACAAGCCCCTCTTGATCAATTATCTGAAGCAATACTGGCCACCAATAATGATTTGCGACATATTGTAGAGTGGAGCAAATCCTTTGGACTAGAGACAAATCTCTCCAAAACACAATGCATCATTATATACCTATAATGATGCATTGTGTTTTGGAGAGCTCAAGGTTGATTGCCAAAGTGAATTTGCAATTACTTCCTAAAATAACTCTTGCTGGCACCAGTATTCCATTTAGTGTATCTGTTAAAAATTTAGGAATAATTGTCGATAACCGTTTCAGTTGGGATCCACAGTTACAAGCTGTTAGCCGAAAATTGTTTGCTTCAGCAGCTTCGCTGAAGAGACTCCGTAGTTTCCTTCCAATTGCCACCAAAAATGCCCTAGCACGGTCTCTGCTACTTCCTATTCTTGATTACGCTGACGCCTGCTATCCTGATCTCACGGAGGACCAGCTTAACAAGCTTGAGCGACTTCAAAATTTCTGCATTCGGTTTATATTCTGCTTACGCAAATATGACCATGTATCTGTTCTTTATCTAGCTCAAAGAGCCCTCATAAAACTTATTTATTTTAAAAAACGGGATTTTTCAACAAATTTACTTAATTCTCTATCGGGTCTACTTACTGTACGAAAATTGTATATACTGCATTCTATTTTAAGAAAGCACACTTCAATTACATATGATCCTAATATTATAAAAAAAAGAAGAAATGACAGAGTAGCTATAATAGAACGTACAAAATACAAACTTTGCGCAAAACCAAAATCCACATCTTTCATCAATCATTGATAATCGAATTAACAAGATTCTTAGTATCTACCCGCTAACCTGCCGTGAATGCAAAAACAAGCTGACAGTATGGCTGAAGACTTTAGACTATGACAAAACAGAGAGTTTATTAAAATTTTGACGTATAACAACTAATTTTTTATATAGGTATATAAATTTAAATTTATGTATAGAAAAACAATTTTATATTAAAAAACCTTCTAAATACAATATGAATATATATGTATATATTATATTTATGTCTTATATGCACACACACACGCGCACAAACACATGCATATACACATACACACACACCGGGCACATACACACACAAACACGCATGCATAAACACCCCGCTTAGTTTAAATTGTATTTTTGTTTAATTTAGAAGTGCTTTGATTATCGTGAGTTGCACCAACTTATTTTAACGTAAATTTCCATTTAACTTTAACTAGCTCTGTGGTGTAACTCACAAAATAATATATTTAATCTTAATAAAATTAATGACCTTACCATAATGTAACACATGCTATGGAAGAGTGGTTCTCTTTGGTACAGGTTTCTTACACTTAAAAAAAAGAGCCTACCTTTATCTATGTAACCAGATGTATGGTAAAGAAATAAAACAATTTTGAATTTTGAATCTCAATTTCGATCACAGCTCAAGTGCCTACCTATTCGCCTTCGCCGGAATACTCACATCCTCACACTTCTCTACAATATATTGTTCAATCCTTTGTCCCCGCGCTATCTCTAGGAATGCTTTAATTACCTTCATAATTCCAATGCGTTATCTCTAAGGTCAGAAAATTTAACCCTAAAAATTCCTATTCATGACACGACCTTCTATGGTCGTTCTTTTGACGTCCAAGCTGTACGTCTATGGAATTCTCTTCCTGTATCCATAAGACAAGCGCAATCTATTAATGTCTTTAAAAATCTAGTTGTAAAACACTTTTTGTCGATGTAGCTGCATTTTTATCTCTGCTGACTGGACTAAACTTACATATGTGTAGTCTATGTATTGTATAATCTGTATATATGTATGTATATTTAATTCATAAATTCGTTTATATGCCTTGTTTCTTTTACTGACACCGCCGACTCTAGCTTTCTTTCAATCCTCTCCATCCAAAGGTTGTCTGGAAGAAATCGCTTTTAGCGATAAGACCGCCCATTGAAGCACTCTTTTTTTTACAATTAAAATCCCTCATTTCTGTTCTGTGTTGTGGTGTTTTCAATAAAGTATTGTGTATTGTATTGTATTACTAGTAATTTAGTATAGATTATGACGACGGACGCAAATATTGGTTGATGCGTATTTCAGGACGCAAGGTTAGTGGAACTGCGTCGTATCGCCCTTCAAGCGTATCTTCGGCACGTTGTGCTTGTAATGCCCTTCAGCTTTATATTACTAGTAATTTAGTATAGATTATGACGACGGACACAAATATAGGTTGATGCGTATTTCAGGACGCAAGCTTAGTGGAACTGCCTCGTATCGCCCTTCAAGCGTATCTTCGGCACGTTGTGCTTGTAATGCCCTTCAGCTTTATATTACTAGTAATTTAGTATAGATTATGACGACGGACACAAATATTGGTTGATGCGTATTTCAGGACGCAAGCTTAGTGGAACTGCGTGGTATCGCCCTTCAAGCGTATCTTCGGCACGTTGTAATGCCCTTCAGCTTTATATAACTAGTAAGTTAGTATAGATTATGACGACGGACGCCAATAACGTTCGATGCGTATTTCAGGACGCGCGCCTAGTGGAACAACGTCGTGTCGCCCTTCAAGCGTATCTTCGGCACGTTGTGCTTGTATTGCCCGAACTTCGAGACTGTACATCGCGCGCTCAACTCATCACCCTCCTGCCATTCCTCGGGTGAGTGCCTCAAGCTAACTTTAATTCAGTTAACATTTTAAATTGCCCTGTGTGTCAATCTATAGAGTAACACGGATACGGCCAAAAATGGAGAGCCCATATTATAGCTTTAACCTATATCAAAATGTATAGTTATTCCAAATCGATTATCAAGTCAAGTAACCTCTGGCTTATAGATAAAATATTGAAAAAAAAATCTTTCAATTCTCTATCCTTGCTCGCTCCATAGCAAAATCTTATCACAAGATCTCAATATGATAAGTTTGATAAAAAGCTTTTCCGAGCAAATACGTAGAACGATTTTCGCTACCCCGGTTCTACCAACTGTTACTACCGTTTTTGTTTTATAACAAATGAGTCCAACCAATCAAAGAAATCCAACAGACGCACCCTATTGTACCTCACAAAAAGTAATTTCAAATTCCTCTATACTTTCAGCACATCATCGACATCAAAAGAAAATGGATTAAATCATTCCCTAAATCGACAGCAGTCCATCGATTCCGTATCGACTTACGACGGACTTTGATTGAAAAGTGAAATTGTTTACTTTATACGAAAATGCAATACATGACTAGCATAAGATTATCCATAAGTATCTAAATGAAAAATAGTACAGATTTTATAGTTATTCTCAGGCAGGGCAGGCGGGGCTGCAGCCCAGTGGGTTATCCTGAGAACAGGACCGGATATAAGGGTGTGGAGGCCCTGCGGCAACCAAGGCGTGGGAGCCCCTCTGTTTTTAAATCTTTTATAAATAAATAAATATTTCCAACACTCACACCAATTAGCCTAGCCCTAAACTAAGCACTGTAAGGCTTGTGTTATGGGATACTAGGGTAACGGAAAGAATACATATACTGTACATATATAAGTATATTTATTTAGAAATACATATTAAACATCCATGACTGGAGTACAAATGTTCGTATTCATCACACAAAGATCTGCCCCCACCGGGATTCCAACCCGGGACCTCTCGAGTAGGCGACACCATGAAACCCGGCCTACAAACCACAGAGGTCGTCGAGAAGAATCAAGAAGGAAAAGAAAGAAGAAGGTTGAGAAACTGGAAACGGAATTTAATTATTTTTTATCACTGTTGTCCCCACAACAATAATAACATTCCGTTCAATTGTCCCCACAACAGAGATAAAAAATAATTACATGCCGCTTCCAGATTTAAATATAGGGGCCCCCACATCTTAGTTGCTCCAGGGCCTCCACACCTTTAAATCCGGTCCTGTTCTCTGGATAACCCTATCTTGTATATATGTTACGCTCAAAGATCTAAAACGCTCAGTGAGGGAAAAATAGCTCACAACGCGTTGTGGTCACAGTAAAACATCCACATGGCGAAATTCGTGTTATGGCTCTAATGAAAACCCGCACGACGCGTTGTGGCAATCACAGAAAAACCAAATAGCGAAATTCGTGTCGTGGCTGACATGCTATTCGATCTCAACGCGTTGTGGCAATGAAGAAAAGCCATGGCGTGTTCTGAGCATTCATTGTTTTAACCATATCACGACGGACAGGCTCTAACTTTTTGGTGTCGGCTCGGGTGCAAAGACGCATTGAAACATCAGTTTTATTCATTTCTTTTCTGTTTATGAGAGTGAATTTTAATGTCAGCGCTAATTATGACGAATAAAAAAGAAGTGTTTTACGATAAATTATGTGAGTTTTTGGAAACAAGCACTGATCGCAGTTTTATCATGACTACAGAAAAATATGAAATGTTACTGAATGAAACAAAAAAATATCGTAAAACACTTCTTTTTTATTCGTCATAATTTGCGCTGGCATTAAAATTTACTCTCATAAACAGAAAAGAAATGAATAAAACTGATGTTTCAATGCGTCTTTGCACCCGAGCCGACACCGACGTCCGTCGTGATATGGTCATTGTTTTGAATGCTTTCATAGGTTTTTCTTCATTGCCACAACGCGTTGAGATCGAATAGCATGTCAGCCACGACACGAATTTCACCATGTGGCTGTTTTACTGCGACCACAACGCGTTGTGAGCTATTTTTCCGCTCACTGAGCGTTTTAGATCTTTGAGCGTAACATTACGTAATAACAATAAGTTTAAATGTTAAGCGGGAGCCACATCAGGAGCAAAAGGTGTTTTGCTTTACCTCTCAATCTGATTTTATAATCTAACTTATCTATAAAATTGGCTTATTCAATTGGTGAAATCAAAGTTTGATTAGGCTCTACGGATGTTACACAAAGAATATTATAGTCTGTTCGCGTACTTTTTACCTGTACAATAATATCGATAGTTTTTAGAACTATTGATAGATTTAATTAAAGTATTGGTGTCTAGCAATAGTGTCAGGTTGGTTGGTCAACTATCCATAGGCCTATCAACATTGTAAATACTTTCCAAGGTCAACTCTCGAGAGTATTGCAACACTAGTGAGGAGTGCTGAGGGGCTAAAAGAACATTACTGGTGTGACTCTCGCTTTATTTATAACTCTGGTTTGTATTATATTGAAGTGATTGAAATTACAACGACCGCTATGCTACTTTCATTGATGTATAAAATCAAGTAGGCTCCCAATCGCCAAGAAAAGTGCATCAAAAACATATACATCAACTTAAACAGATAACATTAACGTATTTGTTCAAATTAACACGTTATGTCGTGACTGGAACGTTCAATGTAAATTGTATACGAGTAAGAAAGGTAAAATTTGATTACGGGATGCGAGAGACATACACGATCACATAGCACACGGGACAAGATATTTTGTTGTAGCTAATAAAATGTAATTAATTAGCAATGCGATAGAAAACCAATATAGTTTCATAATTTTGTAAGTTTATAGGGACACTTGCCTGAGATACGACTGACCGTGTTTTTTAAGTGTGGATCTCATGTCGTTAGTAACAATGTTTTTATCGTTTTAATCGTAACACTTTGTCATTAAGTGAAACACGATTGTTTGAAAATTACGCACAATAGAAGCGTGTGCGTGATTTTGCTTACGACACTTTTTGAACACGATTGTGAGTCTACTTGTTGTTATACATTAATATCTACTCCGAATACTTATATTTTAAATTGAGTACAATAGTATTAAACACCATTGCAAAATTTTGTAATGTAGAAACCTAATCGAATAAATATAAATAAAGTGTGCAATGGAATTATTATTATACATATTAATAACAACATCCATGTATTATATGAATTTTATGCTTTATTATGTTTTAGTCTGTGATAAAATTATGTAGCTTTACCATGTAACAGTAAGTAAATAAAAGGAAATCCGTATAGGTCCTCGATTGAAAGTATATTTTTTTAAAGTGGCTGTTAGCTATAAAAGCGTTACATTAATGTATCTAGTTACATTAGTAATGCCATATCAGCAACATAGTCATAAGTAGAGTATCATAATATGACACATCTTGGCGTGGCTACAATGTATCAACTCTAGAATAGGGTATTTGACAGTATTAAAAATAAAGTGCCAATTTTTAGCATCTGTATTTAGAATGAATATTGGCAGGAGTTTTTACTATTTTTACAGAAAAAATATTCATAATTTTACTAAAAACCCACGATAAAGATGGGTCTATTGTCAAGTGATTCAAAATGCAGTTTACGCAAACAAATAGTTTTCTTGTCTATTGTCACGTGATCCAAAACGCTTGGAATTGGTGGAGCCTTAAATGACGTCACACGCAAGTAAACTTCCGGTTAAAGTGAAGTTACTATATATGGTTTGACGTTTTAATGACAGTCGTGTGACGTCACACACCAGTGAGACGCCATATTGTCCAGAGATACGTTTTCGCGGCAACTTGAAAATAGAGTTTTTTATTTAGATTCTTTTACCGAAATACATAATATAATGATGACTATCCATTAGTAAATAACGTGAGTTCGTTTTCTAAAACTTGTCAAATACCCTATTATCGCGTGTTTTATTAATCCACAGCAAGAGATATCAATATGGTAATTTTACTAGAAAACATCAGGTAGGTAACATCAGAGGGAGATGAAAGGGGCTAATTTTATTACATTAAACACTTCAATTTGCATGTCTTTTGTTACAGGACTAAAAATACAAAATTTTAGTAAACGCGCTTCAGAATTTTGTTAGAAAATACTGATTATTTTCATTAGAAATTTGGCTCTGAGTAGGAGTTGCAATTTATTCGGTGAAACATCAAAATTTTGTTTCGAAAGCGCCATCTGATAGAAAACGCAGCGTACTATAATAAAAAAATCGTTTACGGACATACCATTTAGTTAAATTACCTCATGAACTTACAGTGATTATTATGGCGCAGTATCACCCATATTCAGTATCGCTTTGATGATTTGCGACAGTGGGCCTGATTCTCTAAACATAAAACTAAATTTGACAACAGTCTATCCTTTTCATTCTATGTATAAAACCAGTGGGTGCCCGCGACCTCGTTAGCACGTTGTAATAGGGGTGATGACGGGGTATAGATGATCAAAAATAAATAATATAATTCTTCTGTGAGTGTGTATGTCACTGAACTTCTCTTAAACGACTGGACCGATTTTATTGAAATTTTTTGTGTGTGTTCAAGGGGATCTGAGAATGGTTTAGATTCACAATTTTGTCCGCTGAACAACCCCTATTTTTTTGGGCGGTACGAAGTTCGCTGGGTCAGCTAGTATTATATATATTTTTTCTTTTTAGCATTCAACCTTCACATTCCAATAGGAGATAATATAGAGTAAATCCCTATTTAGCATCGTGGGCTCCCCTACTATTAGAGAATCATGCCAGGATCCGAAGGCCTATTCGGTAACTGCTCTTGACAGATACGAGTTATAATCACCAATCTCTTTAGTGATCCACTACTGCTTCCTTATAAAGCCACTAAGATAGTTGTTATGAAAGCAGCGATGGATATGCAATTTTATCTGTAGTTACACACTGTAAATGTCAAGAAAGTTAGAGAATAGTCCGGCAGGTCCATTATAGTCAACTAGGTCAAAATTGGAGTTGGTGATAGTAGCCACATCAAGAGAAACCACACATTGTCATAGTAATTTATCGCGACCGACTTATATATGTTAAAAGAGAAGGTAAACGAATATTTATTAAGTTATTGGAGAATTTCTAATTTAATACCTAATTGTACGAAACAATAAAGAGTTTATTCACATTTAATCTCTTGTGTTTATTATTTTTAATCATCATAATAGAACCGCCAATTCTTAGGGATGCGGAAAAATAATTGTAATGGTCTTGTATACACAACATAAGTTCAACCATAATGTGGAGAGACTAACCCTAGGCGAGATGAGAAGCTCGATGGCACAGGTGGTTAGCGCGTTCGGTCTGCGGTCGTGGTAGTAAAGCAACTTTGCAAAGGCATTAGATGCGTGACCAAAAACTTCTTCCGTGCTTCGGAATGCACGGTGGTTGCAATCGTTAGCATCCACCAATCCGCACTAGGCTCGCGTGGTGGATCATGGCCCAATCTTCCTATATCTTCCATTAGGAAGGCCTGTGCTCTAGCAGTAGGGAATTTAAAAGACTGATGATGAGATGAACCAAGGGTAAATTCTTAAGTATACTGTTAAAGTATAGAAAAGGACTCATAAGCAGAGCCTTTCAAATTGCTTTGTGTTAAAGAATGTTGCAATTGGTACCTACCATTTTTTGCGACTTATCAAGGGCGTTTGACTGCGTTAGCCATGAAACATTGTTAAATAAAATGAAGCATTATGGTGTATCAAATATTTCACTAAGTCTGATACAGTCTTATCTTTCTGCTAGGATTCAAAAAGTAGTTATAAATGAAGCTGAGTCTACAGGAGCACCCATTTCTATGGGCGTGCCCCAGGGTTCAATATTGGGCCCATTGCTTTTCCTTATTTATATCAATGACCTTCCTCACTTTACAAGAGATTTGTGTGAGACAGTACTATTTGCTGATGACACCTCTTTATTGTTTAAAGCTAGAAGAGGAAATGATTGTTATGACGAAGTAAATTGTGCTCTCTCTGAAGTCCTTCACTGGTTTACGGTAAATAATTTAAAACTTAACTCCAGTAAAACAAAATGCGTTAAGTTTACTCTACCTAATGTGAGGCAGGTTAATACTAGTATAAAAATAAATGACCAGCCTGTAGAGTTAGTGGATTTTACAAAGTTTCTGGGTATTACTTTAGACTATCGTCTGCAATGGGATCCTCATATTGATGCCTTGTCAAGTAGATTGAGCTCTGCAGCTTTCGCTGTTAAAAAGATAAGACTCTTAACTGATGTGGAAACGGCAAGATTAGTTTACTTTGGTTACTTTCACAGTGTTATGTCATATGGCCTTTTGTTGTGGGGCTCAGCCGCTAATATCGAAAGTATTTTCATACTGCAAAAGAGAGCTGTTCGCGCCATATACAATTTAAAGGCAAGAGAATCCCTTAGAGAAAAATTTAAAGAAATTAATATTTTAACACTGGCGTCGCAATACATTTATGAAAATTTAATATATGTAAGAAAAAACTATGATGAATTTGCAAAAAAAAGTCAAACCCATAACTTTAACACGAGATTTAAGAACAAGCTTGCCGTTCCATGTTTCAGACTCCAAAAATCAAGAGGTTCATTTCTGGGTTGTAGTATTGCATTGTTTAACAAAGTTCCCCAAGATCTGATTGAGCTTCCACTGACTAAATTTAAATCTCAGATCAAAAATACTCTTATGAATAAGGGCTATTATAAAGTTGATGATTATCTAAATGATCGTAATGCATGGACATAGTGTTTCTTATAATTTGATATTAAATGGGTATTACTCATTTTTCATAACAGTAATATTGTACCTATCTAATGCCGCTTCCTATATACTACTTAAAATGTTAACTATAAAATTAATTGTAACTATTTATATTCTAGATGATGTAATGGAAAGTGACTTCAGACGTATTTCTGAAGTAATTTTTCAAATTGACGACACTGTATATAACAATACAGGGAGAAAAAAACAGCCCTTGCTGAGTTTCTTGCCGGTTCTTCTCAGTACAAGGTCTCCCGCCGTAGTTTTGCGAACCGATGGCGTAGCTTCTTGACCTTCACAAGTGCTTGTAACAGCCTAGACTGAATAAATGACATTTCATTTCATTCATTTCATTTCATTACCTAAATTGTTTTCAATATTGCAATTAAACTAATTATAAATGAGATCATTATCCAGTCGCAGTACTTATGAAGCACCACGTTTATTAACGGTGGCTATAAGAGCGACATAGATACGTAGCTCAACTTTTTCTACCTACTGACCAAGTGTTTACTGTATAGCACCAAAGACTATTTGCAACTGCAAGTCCTTCAACACCCGTAAACCGTTTTGAGGTGGCTCAGTAAGTACAAGCGCAGGATGGTCGGCAGGCGTTGTCGTATATCTGGTTGTATATTACGATATGGCATATTATTATGGTTACTAATAATGTGAAATAAAGGTACTATAAAGTGAATTTATTTAGCTACTAAAATATGCCCATGTGTCATAACTTCTGACTACCAGGATATTTTTACGGTGTCTTCCTTTCACTCCCAGGATATTTTTTACGGTGTCATAATAAAAAAGGCTAGTTTTTCATGGATCTATCGTTTCATACTAATTACATTGTTGGCGGAGCTGGGTGTCTTTTGCCCATTGTCCTTTAATTCCCAAACAATAGAAGTTATTATTAATTTTTGAAATTTGACAGTTTGATTGATGTTTTTTTATTGTACTTTTTACCCATTCCATTGTGATCACACTACGACTTACTAGGGGGCGCTAGAATAATTTTGCACACGGGCGCCACATAGGCTAGATACGCCTCTGCAACTGGGGGTATTTGTCTTTTACCGCGATGTCTTTATAGTTAAAGGAAGTGTTCAATGTGGCATAAATAATCTCTTTCCTAAATATGAAAAGTAGAAGAAAAAGTTATTGAGCCCAGGGAGGCGTTTTAGGGTCACAGCTCATTAGAGCCACCCGGCACTGTCTCGTCGACGAGAAAACTTGACTTGAACAAAAAACTTGACGGGTGGACGCCTTGTCAGGTGGTCCACGCCACATTAAATGCCCTAGAACAACACGAACAAAATCATAGCCAAAACGTGTCCAAAAGGTACTTTGGACGATCCACGGACCTCCGTAAGATGAATGCGTAGTAAAAAACAATACAGGTGTGAAAAAACCTATGACAAAGACTAAAACTACGCATTCTGTACACACAAACAAGTAACATTACAAAATATTATACGTGGGAATCTATTGTATTTTTAAGTTTAAAAAAAACTTTATTTTTACAATGTTCAAATGAATCCAGTTCAACAATTTTATAAATTAGTTTCTCCATTGATATCTAAATGTTATTTTAGTAAAATTATTAATCTACACCCATGCTTTAAAACCATTCTGAAACAATCAGCTTATTTCCAATATTAACACATATAATTTTGTAATAACACTCCTTCGCTTTTTAAATCACTTCCGCACCAAGGGATCGCTCATCAAAGAGCTACAATTTTCACTGCTAGAAGCGTGGTATTATGAATTACAAAAAAGCGGCTAAGTGCGAGTCGGACTTGTCCATGAAGGGTTCCGTAACAGCAAGTAACATAATATAAAAGTTATAGTACTTCGTTGTAACTTTGATCGATGTTTTAATAATAGTCTATTTTGTACGATTTATGACTCAACTCAACTAAAAAAAAACTACTTACTAGATCACGTTCAAACCAATTTTCGGTGGAAGTTTGCATGGTAATGTACATCATATATTTATTTTAGTTTTATCATTCTCTTATTTTAGAAGTTATGGGGGGGGGGGACACATTTTACCACTTTGGAAGTGTCTCTCGCACAAACTATTCAGTTTAGAAAAAAATAATATGAGAAACCTCTATATCATTTTTGAAGACCTATCCACAGATACCCCACATGAATGGGTTTCGATGAAAAAAATTGTTTTGAGTTTCAGTTCTAAGTATGGGGAGCCCCCAAAATTTTGTGTTTTTTCTATTTGTGTGTGAAAATCTTAATGCGGTTCACAGAATACATCTATTTACCAAGTTTCAACAGTAGTTCTTATAGTTTCGGAAAAAAGTGACTGTGACATACGGACGGACATGACGAATCTATAGGGGTTCCGTTTTTTGCAATTTGACTACGGAACCCTGAAAACAACATTGTTCTTCAAAAGCGCTTCACAACCACAGTGCCGAAACTTTTCATGAATTTTTAAGTTCTTAGAACCCCCCATTGTTTCAGAATCTTTTGTAGTGGATTCATATCATGGGTGTAGATAGTCTTTTTTTTATGCTACTATTATGATTAGGTTATAAACACTCATGTGATTCTATTATCAAACCCACATTCATGTTTTAATAGTTCTTCTTCAATATACAACATTTGCTTAAATAACTATCAATGTATCGTTGCATTAAAAACACTCTTATTACCACGTATTAAGAATCAAATTGTTTCGGGAACGCGTGCAGATATCGAGTTGAAATTTTAGACTCAGATCTACAGTGTTTGGGCTTTATGCTGTGAAAAAATTTGAACTTTTTGACGTAAAAAAGCGATACCGCTGCAGCGCTGTTTATGCGTATAATGCGATTCAACTAAGAATAGGACCGACTCGGCGCCATATTGTGATGTCATTAGAGTGAGCAAACTACTAAGATAAAGTGAGAAAAAATATCACTTTTTTAATAAAATTTATTACGAAGATAGAAAAAAAGAACCGATTTTTAATAATATTTATTTATGAAGACTGTGTGAGAAATAACATTAATCAGAATCTAGCTCTTCAATTCCGCTCATCTCTGCATTACCGCCGGAGTAGTTATAAATGCACTATTACTAGATCACATACGATCATGCGTCCTTTATGTAAGCGAAAGTTTTAAATCGAGTTTAAAAGTATCTTAAAGTGACATTTGGTTGACGATTTAGGTTATCAGCCAGTCATAGCCAAAGTTCAATATGTATATGAAAAAATTATCAAAAATTTTTAATCAATATTTGTTTACAAATGTTTGATTTTTATTCTAGAATTAGCAGAGTGCTAAAAAAGGGTTCCAATTTTTTTTGCAAACCCTACTTTTCAAGCGACATTTGACAGATCGAGGTCATTGGTCGTCCTATTCTTATTTGAATCGCATTATACCTATAAACTTATACGGAACCTTCGGTGGACGAGTCCGACTCGCACTATCCGGTTTCCTTACTGCAGTCGCAAATTATCAATTTTACATTTAGCTGAACTGAATTTAGGTATTACCTATTATTATCAAAAATATTTTTTATATGTTTGTATATTTGGTCAATAAAATTTTTCTCTATCATTATTAGTTACCCAAAAATTAAGAAATGGGACAAAAAGTGATTATGGGTGTCCATGTGAAGCGGAAAGTCACCAAAAACTCAGTTGTGTGTAGCCCTCACTTCCAACCAGAAGAATTATATTTAATTCCCAGAGTCATGGTAATCCTATTAGAAAGCGACACAACCCTCTCTCATCTCCGACCGTTTTTTGAGTAAAAGTACGCAGTCGTGTTATGTACAATAAGTCCACGCTCCATATTTAAAATGAGATCGACAAGAATAAGTAAATAAAAACACCATTTAGCAAATGAAATTCATAATTTTATTTTCGTAATAAATAAAAACCAAGACAACACTCTCTTCGAGAATATCCTATAGTAAATACATCATACAAAAGATGTCAATACAAACTAAATCACTTGGTGCAAAGGCAAGCCTTCCGGTTTGGGGTTCGCCCGACCATCGCGATAGAAGCAGCGTCGACGGCATCCGGTTTGAGCTATCTATGCAACAGGCATGTGGAAACCCGAGGGTAGCCTCTCTTAATTTTATATTTTTAACAAAACAACTAATTTTAAAATTGACAAAGACACATGCCCTAATCTCTTGAAATGTATCTTTGCAATATCTCTAGTTTCGAATGAAAAAAATATTTTATTTGATCGTGATTACAATATTGTATAGAGGTATGTAAAAAAAAGCGTATTACTCTTCTAAAATGAAAAAAGGAAACAAGATAATTTAGGCTTGATATTTAATAAATAAAAAATATAATAAAATCAGTATACTTTAAAGGGGAAATAATTTACTATTTAACTTTACACCTAAATTATACAATGTATATTGCAACACACTAAGGAGCTTTGGAACCATTCAGTAATTCAGGGGGTTTGAATTTCAGCTGGTAATTAATCTCGAATAATAATAAATCTAGACATTGTGATTTATCTTTGGTTTGCGAGCGCTTCGACCATAGTTCCATAACTCCTCATAGAGCGCAGCCGCCGGATCTACTAAACAGTACGCCAATATATTGAACGCACCATGTAGAAGCCCTGGCACCAAAAACTGCACTCCAAGTGAATATTTCATAAGTACTTACATAAGTTACAGATCTACTATGAAGCTGATAGCTGACACTATTAAAATTAAGTGAGTGTATTAATTTTCTGAATGCATTTATCTCAAACTTTTAACATTATGAATTAGGAAGCTTTGTAACGGCAGGAAAACAGCCTATTTAACACTTAGTACAGAGTTAATAATGAACGTTGCTGAAATGGCGATTTTTAAAATGTAATCGTCTGCCATCTTTATAGATACCCACTGTTGTAAAAGCCAATGATGAAACTTAATTACTAAAAATACCACTAAGAAATTACGCGAAACGCCAAATATAAAAAAAAAAGAATTTGCTAAAAAGAATCATCACAGCTCGAAGCAAGTGAAGGAGTCGCGCTAACATGAGGTCCAAGCTAGAAGGTGACATGAATGATAACCCGCACAATAAAGAATTTCACAATATTGGAAACACGTAACTTCACTAATCGGAATTTAACTCGTAATTTTTTTATTAATACCAGAGCAAAATTGTATTTTTAGTTGAAAGAGATTTTCGTATCGAATCGAATACAAAAATCACCCACTAATTTTTATCATATCGGGATTCCATCTGGCGCAATCCGTGCCTGGGGGCGGGGAACTTGCTAGTAACAGCAAGTCGCTCAGGCACCACGCGAGCAAAACCAACGCAGCTGACCTTTGGGGGGAGAGAGTGGGGGATTTATGGGGGTATATGGAGGGAAGGGAATGGCTGTCATCTTGTTATCACTCATCACACCTCGTGTGTACCGCGGACGAGTACCTCGTGTCCTGTTATCTACATAAATGCTGACATATCGGCATAACATCGCTTATCACAATATATAAAAATATATATATTAAAGAAGCTTAAACTCTACAACATCTACACATTCACGACGATGCGTTTCTCGTATGCATTTGCCACCACACGTGGAATATAGACATATACGGCCGTAGTAGGTACATTTTTCTTTTTTTTTGTATTTTTTTTTGCTTTTCTTTATTTTGTGCGGCAGCATAATGCAAGTCTGCAAATGATTCAGTTTATTCTTAAAGATAAAAACATATTGCATCTTTGAAATCATAGTATCACTTCGACCGGGAAGAAATGTGGTGTCACAATGGCTCCGTGTTCACTCGTAGATTGGTAACTGGCTCGTTATTGGTTTGTACTGAACAATTCAATATGTTTATGTATACCTTTACTACATTTCTTCCCAATGAGATTATTGATTACTTAAATTATAAGGTCATTTAATTAATTTAGCCAAAATGCATATCTAGCATTCAAGTTTGAAAAACTAAATATAATACTTAGTCATTTCATAAAAATATAGTTTATCTGATTTATTAAAAATAGCAACATCAAAAGACCTTCGAAGCATTGGGTCTGCTCACATTTTATAATACTTTTTGCATGGTTATCTAACAATAAAATTGATAACGAATTCAATGAAACTTCGACCTATGTTTAGCGAAAAGCTAACTTCTAAATCCATGTGCACTTACCGAATTTAAGATTAGATAGCTCAAAATATTAAGCATTTATACGAGATTTCTACGATATTTTTAGTTTTTTTTTCTGTGATAGAGCTTATATTATATAGGCTTTTCATAAACACATATTAATATAAAGGGTATAATTATTCATGTGACTGTTCGCTTCATGTGGTAGGTACATCTAAGATGTTTCATTTAAATTCTCTATATGATGCGACCGCCTCTTCAACTTTCATCTGAAAAATCAGACAACAATAATAATTATAGTTTGTAAAACAACAATTAACTTTTTCTATACAATCCAAATTTATACTCGCAGGTAATTGATAGTACCTTTTTTAATATGTCAATACAGTAAAACCAGGAAAGTGAAAATAAAACGTATAATAATATATTGTATGTATTCTAGATAAACAGGGCTCGTTGAGTTAAGGGTACAGTACACTTAGCACGAACCAATATTGAATTCGTATCGTTTGAGAGTACGAAATGTCAATGTCAAATGTGTACTGATTTTTAGTCCTCGTAACGTACTTTGTGGCGCTGCTGTTCAAGTTTCCATACAAATAATTACATTCACATTTCGCACTCGCAAACTATTCGAATTCGATATAGGTTCGTGCTAAGGGTACAGTGCTTGAGTGTTCTACGTCCACTCAATCGACCGATCGAGTTTTTTTTTTAATTTCACAAAAGATTATTGATCTGGTGGATGTAACATTTAACGAATGGTGGATACACTAAGGGGGCAATCGCCTAACGGGATTGCTATAGCTATCGCTCACGATTTAAAGGTTATTACCAATGCAAAAGAAAAGAAAAGAGCGCAAGACACTTGAAAACCTTCGGCGATCAGAAATAACAAAATGAAATCGCGATAGCGATAGTCATATCAATCACTGCAGCAACGAGTACTTTCACTGTCGTTTCGGTGTTAGTCTTAGATTAAAACAAAAACGGAAGATACGGCACTCACGGCTCTAAAGTGATCCGCTTAAATTGTGGTGCATGACCATAATTCGCTGTAGTCACAATTGGACATTCAAACACGCTGCATGTGCACTCAATATAACAATATTACGCATGTTCTATGATATAAAGAGAAAACTATGCCTTTGATGCTTTTATAAAGAATAAAGAACACAAATAGAGTCTGGCTAACGAAAGCGTGACCTGGGGGCCAATCGCCTAACGGAAATGCTTTGGGAAACGCTAACGCTTACGATTTTATATTGTTATTTCTAGCCGCCTGAGGTTTTCGAATACCTCACGCTGATTTTTTTTAATATTGTTATTACCAATGCAAAAGAAAAAGAGAGAGCGCGAGGCATTTGAATACCTCAGGCGGCTAGAAATAACAAAATGAAATCGTAAGCGTTAGCGTTTTCCAAAGCATTTCTGTTAGGCGATTGGCCCCCTGGAATGTTCTTAAAAAAATTAATATGGCAACATTATTAAGCTGTCAATGGCACGTCATAGTCTGTGAATTCAGTTGAGAGTTTCTTGTGAGCACATTTAATTTTCAAAAATAATAGCAATTACCTTGGGTAAAACCATAAAAAGTAACGTGCGAAAACTGCTACATACTATGATAAGTAAGTTTCAACAAAAACAAGAGGAGAATAGGGTTGTTTTCGAAGAAAAGCGACAATGCTTAGATGCTTGTCGGATTTTTTAGGTTAGTGTGATTTTGTAATCTTGATTCTTGTTGGCTGATTGTTTGAAATATTTAAGATATGATGATATTTTTTCTTATGTTTATAGATAATCTAGAAGATATTCAAGGACTCTTCGAAATAAAAACTGTTGTAGAAAAGTTAAAGAATTTGGGGAAAAAATCCTTAAGAGAAGCTCAGAAAAAGTTTTTAGAAGAAATATCTTCACTAACTGGTATGTACCTGTATCTGTTTAGTATTTTTATGTGTTTGTTCTATTCACAAAGTTGTGTTATTTTGTCATCAAACTGTTAAGGTACCTACCTACTTCATTAATATGCATGTGTACTTTGTTTTGCAATGTTGGTATCACGACACTAAAGAAAATTAAAAAGGAAGGATCGGTGAATGTAGGAATGTGGAGCACTCCAGGAAAAAAAGGCACCATAAAAGCACAATGTCAGATTAAGACAGTTTTGATAATGATGCAATAAGAAATAAAATCAATGATTTTTATGTTGTGAGTAAGGAGGTCCCAAAATATCGACCATGTAATAGATGTGGTAAATAAATATACACAAAGAGATCACATAACTGAAGAAGTATAGTAAAAATTCATGATAAATGAAGTGATGATGACTCCACTGACACAGAAGAATTCTTACGAGGTTAAATTTTTGGACTCAGATTATGACTATGATGAATAAACAAGTCACCATCAACACTCAACATTATTATCTTCAGCCTGTACTCTATTAAACATATTGTTGAAGAAATTTAATAAACTATATGTTAAGTAGACAAATATTATGTGCATTCTAATAAATAAATCTGCACACATTTTTTTTCTCACATCCATGACGATCAAGGCTCCGTCGTTCCAAACGAAGCCTTTTGAAAAAAAGAATTCATGTATCAAAACATTTAGATCCTACTATAGTTAGTGATACCACATAAGAGATTTATTGAATTTCCCGCATTTTCTCAGGTCACGCTTGTTAGCCAGACTCTAGTTCAAAGACAAATAATAAATGCCTCGGCAACACTTTTCATTCGTAAAACTTTAAAAACATTATTTTCTTAACGGTTCTTACGGTTTGTCGTGAACGTTTTGAAAGTAATCGTCATTTTGCTATCAAGAAAAAGACAACAATACGCTACGCTCGCGCTGCGTTAAAGAGGTACAGTTCTGTCTCGCTCGGTCGATTGAATGTTTATATACAGACGAGTGCGTGTGTGAGAGTTGCTTATGTAGTTGAGTTAGATCACATTTTATTTGATGCTGGTATGAGCGTACCGTATCTTCCCTTTTTGTATTAATCTAAGGTGTCAATGGTGTCGATTCTGGCAAGATTCTCTAAACTTAAAACTAAATTTAAGATCAGTCTGTCCTTTTCATTCTGTATAATGAATGACAGGGATACACTGTTGTCAAATTTAAGTTTAGCTTTAGAGAATCATGCTAGAATTGATACCAGTGTAGTGAACTCACCTCGTGCGCCGACGATGATGGATTTCCGTTTGATGTCCTGCGCGGGCGCCGGCCTCACCACGCCGGGCGCGCCGCCACCCACCAAGTGCCCGCCGCCAGCGCGAATCGGTTTGGCTACGAACAAACATACCAATTTATTATTTTGTCACGTAGGGACATTGCGACCATTACCCATAGAGATATAACAATAGAGTGGGGAAGGCGGCTCTAAATGTGTCCGTCTAGTAGAAAGAGAAAGAAGATGAGTGACCGCTAGCTATCTCTCTCTCTTGTGACGCATGGCATCAAATGGCATCACATCGAAATAGTAAGATGCTTACGGTTGCCAATGCGAATGCGCGATTAAAGAGAGAAAGCTAGCGGTCTCTCGTCTTCTTTCTATTAGAGGGACACCTATTCTTATAGTAGAGTCTATATCTCCTCTACTCTATTCTTATACCTCTATGCGATTACCGCCTCATTAGAAAACGTTGACTTAAGTTAAACCTGCACAAAAACTAATGCTGTCACTTTTGTTTGCTAAAAAGAAGGCAGAAAACATTAGTTGATTGGTGCGCGGTCAGTGGCATCGGGTGACACGGTGCAGGGATATTGTCTGGTTTTTAATGACCCTGTTCAGTGCATAAGGTAGGGCCCTGTTTAATTTCAACGAATCCCAGGGCTGGTTGAAATGAAAAGTGAGGAGTTCCAGATACCTTCTAAGTGAAGTGCCAGCGTTAGACTGCAAGGCAGCGAGCGACATCTCGCAATACGTCAACTGACAATGAATGTCAAACGAAATATTTTTACAAGTATTAAACGCAATTTTATGTATATCTAATACGTATATTAACGATGTAGTAATAATAGTATCTCCCCCCGTATTTTAGCGAAATTTTTCAAAGTTTATAAGTGTTTGTGCTTTGAATGGACAAACTGTTTTGAATGTGAAAAGTATCAACATACCGATTTGCGCCTGGGGTCCTCTTCGCGCGAGATTCTTGGCGCGGACGGCTTCCTTGATTCGGTCCACCTCGAATTGGTACCTCTTGCGGTCTCTCATCGCTCCTTCTTTAGCCTCCTGTTTGATGAAAATTACAGCGGTTCAATGAAAATGTTTCTAACATTACAAAAATTAAATTGGCAGAGTGAATATAATTTAAAGGTATTTTTTTTGATACAATAAATTGCTTATTGTGTTAACACAGTCAAACTTCGTTGCATTTGTCCCAGTCGGCGTTTTTCAAGCAGAATCGATACGTGAGAAAGCTGAAAATGGGAGATCTTAATGTACACTAACTGCCTCGTAAATTAGGTTGAATTTACCTTGAGCGCGATTTCAAGCACGTTTGACCGTGATTCATCTTTGATGGTTGTTCCAGGGTCTAGCCACAAATCTCAGTGTACAATGTACACTTACTGCCTGGCAATAAGAATGGAATTACCTTGAGCGGGATTTCCAGCGCCTGAACTCGGTCCATAATGGCGCGAAGTCGTTTCTCCAGTTCTCCTTAAAAAAGGTCTTCTTAATGTTTACCAGGCACACTAACCAACTAGAAATAATGTTGAATTTACCTTGAGCGCGGTTTCCAGTGTAATGAATCTGATGCAGCTTTGCTAGTTGTACCAGGATCGAGTCCTAACTATGTGCGTGGTAATAAGAGCGAATTTACCCTTGAGTGCGGTTTCCAGCGCCTTGACTCGTTCTATGGTGGAGCGGAGTCGTCTCTCCAGTTTAGGCAGTTCACAAAGAAGGTTAGTGTCTACTTGATGTATCTTCATCAATTACTCCAGTCCAGGATCAAGGCATAAATCTTAATGCACAATATACACTAAACTGCCTGGCAATAAGAGTGAATTTACCTTGAACAGGGTCTCCAGCGCCTGAACTCGCTCATGGTGGCGCGGAGTCGTTTCTCCAGTTAACATCAATGGTCTACTTAATGTTTCTTTACCAGTCACACTAACCACCTAGAAATAAAGTTGAATTTCCCTCGAGTGCGGTTTTCAGCGTCATGACTAATGCGTCTTTGCTAGTTGACCCAGGATCGAGACCTAACTTAATGCGATACGTGGCAATACGAGTGAATTTACCTTGAGCGCGGTCTCCAGCGCCTTGACTCGCTCCATAGTGGCGCGGAGTCGTTTCTCCAGTTTGGGCAGTTCGCAGCGAAGGTCGGCGTTGTCGCGAACCAACTGTTTGTGCACTTTCGTCAGCTGTTCCAGGTTGTTCTCCAAGAACGAGATCTTCTGCTTCTGAGCCAGAGAACCGCCCTCTTCCTCGGCACCCTCTTCGGAGTTGGTAGATTTCTTTATCCTTGCCTAGAGCGGATAAAATCTAATATTGGACTTGGTTTTGTTGTCTTTTTTAGGATAATAGCGAAATTGACCGTCATAAACCAACCAATGTAGATAAAAATATCATCACCAAATTGCAAAATATGGTGGTTATTCGAAAGGGGCTCAGCTAATACATAAAATCTATTTAATAAAATATTTGACTCATTACTTGGAAAAGAAGCATATCACGAATGGCAGCTTGTATCATAGTTCTTGTTGGAGTGACATCAAAACAGTCACGTTTTCTCAGAGTGGGTGTAGTGCATGATTACAGGTTCATTCTCCCTTTTGTATTTTAAGATTATGTTCCCAAAATGAAGATCATTTACCTGAAGGTCTTGTACGAACAGTTTGCGCAGGTTGTGCAACGTCTGTAACTCCTTCGCCACCGTATCTTCCAATCCCTTGAGATCAGCGCGAGCCTGCTCACGCCTTTCCACGCTTTGTCTGCGCAAAAAACGAGAAAACCGTATTCAATACACAACAACCAACATTAGAAAACAAGGCCAATGGGTTTGATCCTGGCATGATTATCTCAACTTAAAATTAAATTTCACAGACAAAAAGTCTCTGCTTTTCGTTCCGTATAGAACACGACAAGGATACAATATTGTCAAATTTAATTTTGTTTAAAGAATCGTACCAGAATTGGGCCCAGTGACGGCGTTCTAACAAGTTACCTTGAATATCCGAGCTATCGTTCCCGTACGCACCCATCCATATACATCGCCGCTGCGTGCGTATATAGGCCGATACGATCACAGAGAATGCCAACTCTCGGCAGAATGAATATGAATGGGACACGTGCGGAATAATAATGACAACTCAAAATAAAACTTAAAAAGCAGAAGGCATCACAGTATCTCGCACTACGTCTACACAGAACTTACATTCACTACGCGTGTGTTCAACTCGTGTCATTAAAGAAAAGAATCGTAAATGACGGCGTAAGACATTCTATCCCTTTCGCACATGCTATCCTAAGTAACGTGCGTAAGAGACAGAGACAGCCTTGCGTCAGCATTTTCCATTCCTTTCTTTAATGACACGAGTTTACGTGAATACTCGGTACACGACCTTAGTATTGTGTCCGTCTTGTTCAATCTAGTTTATTTTTGTTAAGTAATTTTCTATGACTACGCGGTTAGGTTTGCTACCATATCATGATTTATATCTAGATTAAAGAACACAGCAACAAAGTCGGTACAAATAATCAAAGATGTACTGAATAGTACAGTACATTAACTATTAGAACTATTCAATATCATCAGACGAAGGCGACATTCACTCTTCGGCAATTCGAGTGCACATAGACTAAAAAGGGAAGTGGCGTGGACACTAGGAACTTATCGACAGTAAAAAAGCGAAGTGGCCATGAATAATGAGACATGCATTTTGAACAATGATTAGCACGATTTGGTTGCAAACTCTTTTTAAGTACCCTAGGTCTCTGTCTCTCCATTTGGATAGAATAAGGAGCAACGATTAGATGATTATATGATATATACCAAACCTAAATTCTCACAGCTACACTTAGACATGCAAATTCATATTTAAGTTTGCACTTTCTTCACAACAGCATTATAATAAGGCAATAAGATACTTTGAGAGGGATTCTATTACATTCTATCCTATGAAAGGTAAAGAATATGTCAACCTATCCTTTTTCTATGCCAATAAAGAGACAAAGATAAAACGTACTTTAAAATTTAAAGAGAACCATTAACAAGACCAAGCGATGAGATGGCACAAACAAAATATAAACAAAATAAATGCTCTATCGGAATGACAATATGTAGTTATTTAGTGATCCCTTATTAAATGCATTTGGTAAATAGATTATTATTAATCTAAAAATATGTTTTTTTATTGCTATTACAAAATGGTTCCTTACCACCTATTACAACTATTGAATTAATAAAGAAAAACAACCTATTTGTACGATATTTCGCTTAGTTAAATCGATAATGATATACATTATAAATTTACACAACGGAGCGAATGCATAATTATTATCCCTAAAAGATTGCTTTATATCACTAAGGCGACACTCCAATCAAATATAACAATGTATGGTCATTGTATTAGAAAAATACTTTAATAAAAATACTAATGAACTCTCTATACAAACATCCAATTTATTTACAGCGGTATTTACAACACGAAAGCTCGCGTCTAGTTCCGCGTTTTCCTATGAACACTAGACTACACAAAACCAATATGTACATATTGGTAATCGCGAAAGTAATATTCAAATCTGTTCACTTTGTAACTTATCTTGTGACAATTTAATTAAATACACCTAAAAACGTAACAACGAAAGGCAGTGTGAGTTTATGACACAACAATAATAGGTTTTGAATGCTTCTCGATTCATCAATCGAAATATTTTAGCTAAATATTTCTTCCTAAGATTAAATATAACCATATTAGCAACAATACGAGAACCATTGTAGACTAAGAGTCAGTTAAACCTACCATTATACTAGTAAAGTATTGATAACGACAATATTGTAACGATTATAAATGTCATGCTCAACCACGATACGAACTACTTCATGAAGTATTTCTCAAGCAAGAACAATACTTTGACGAGTAAAGAATTCGTCATATTTCTATACATACTTATAATTATTAATAACTGACTAGCATATCACATTAACAATAAGCGAAGCATAAAAAATGCATAAAAAATAGTTAGTCTTTAAATGAATAACTAATAACGAAGTATCACGCAGCTGCCTCAAAATATAAATTTTACGATTGTTTTTCACTATAAGTTTCAAGGCAACGATAATAAAAACCTAGATACACCACAAGCGCTCACAATGTGTCCCAATCAAGAAGTGCTTGAATGTCCCCAACGCACTTCATGGTTCACAGTCACCGCGGACCTGCGGATCGCCGGGAAGTAAAATATTTGTATTAATCAAATGCATGGTCGGTAATGTAGTTTTCTCTTTCCCTCACTGCAGAAATACACAATTCACATTCAGAAATACAATACAAAGTCATAAGAATGAAGTCTATGCTTCCGCCTATAGCGACAAGTCGTGAAATTGTACGAGCTTGCATTTAAAACTGTCATTTCTCTTCACGTATGCGTTTAAATGAAGACCTTATGTATTATGCATAAATGGTCTATTTAAATGTTTAAATAGTGTATTTAGTTTTTGGATACGCAATCATCGCACGGAGCTCCGTGGATCGTTCAATGTACCTTTTGGACAGGTTTTGGCAGCGATATTGTTGGTGGTGTTTTATCTAGGGTTTTTAATATCGTTGTTTTAAGGCAGTTGAGGCGACACAAGCATTAGTAGGTAACGATGGATCTCTCACACTATTCCGACGGCTAGCGGTCACAGTAGTAGTGTTCTAAACGGCTCGAGTATTTTAATCGGATATTTTAAACCTTAAGGTTTGAAATATTTATGAATATTATGCTACTAAGACTATGTACAAAAGTAGTTGTATAAAATAAGAAATAAGTTAAGGTTCCCAAAATTAATTACTACTTTTTTTTTTTAATAAACTACTACTTTTTTAAGGGTCCTAAATAAAAGGTCATGCTATTACTTTATAGCGCATAAACTCTTGCGCATTGTCTATGAGACTGTCAAACTCAGAAACTTTATACTAGTTTTCTAAAAATTTTGTATGGGTAAGTAGGTACTTTAACACTTTTTTATACTTTAAAATAAAAATACTCAAGCCCGTTAGAACACTTATAAACATTAACGACAAACTAAACCGATGAAGGCACTGTAAATAATATTGTCAATGTGTCACAGAGATCCATGCGGTTATTGGGCCTGATTCTCTAAACCTACGTCTTAATTTGACAGCAGTATATCTTTCATTATGTTCCATAGAGAACGAAAAGGTCACAGACATAGATCGAAATAGATACCGCAAGTATATGTATTGCGCGCACCAAAAACTTCCAAACGATTTTTTTTCTATTTTCCTATTGTCCCTAAGCTGTAAAAATTATATAATTCAAACGGGTTTCCAATGCCCATGTTTCACACTTCACAACTTTATTTCCCGTCAAAATATAACACGTACGGTTTTTATACAATTTTACTCACATCACACTACTTAAATCTAGGTCTGCACTGCTATCAAATTCGGGTTTAACTTTAATGCCCGTATTACAGAATGACAACAAAGTGTTGATCTTTACTTGAGTACAGTGAAAACAGAAAGCTATGTGTTATATATAGCGACATCCCTTTCTAACTATGCTCAAGACTATATCAATCACTGAGAATCTTTCTATAATACGGGCCTAAGATAGTCATGCCGGAACCAGGCCCATTTTTTTATCACAGAGAAAGAAATTAAACCAGAACAACTATCTGCGGGTAGCGATGGGTGAGTAGGATCATAGTGACGGATATGAGCAAGTGTAGTTGGAGGGGATGTATATTGCAAGTATGGCGGGTTGGTTTGGATGGGATTGCCGAGAGCGACTTTTCCTCTTTGGCCATGAATTTTTCTAGGCCGGCGGCGGTGTAAAAGCCTAGTTTTTCCTTAGGAAGAATGAAGTCTTTGAAGTCGCCTTCGTCTTTGAGCAGGGTTTGTTGGTTGGCGTATTCCTTTTGCGCCTTGTCTAGGCAACGGGGATTGCGTGAGACTAACATGAGTTCCTTGAGTTTGGCCGATTTGTCCGTTTCTTCGCGCTTCAGCTTCTCGTAGTCGTCTTGTAGCTGCTGGCGGGCGAGAGTCAACTCCTGGTATGTACTGTGGACAACATTTTGGTAAATTAAATATATGAAGGTGGTTTTACTATCTACAAATAGAAAAGATAGTACTATTCGTAAATAGAATAGAAGTTCATAGTAATTGGAAAGACTATTTATTGGTCTCGTTTTGTATTAGAATGTCGCTGCTATTATATCACTCGCGCCTACTCACAGTGAAAAGTCAAGGCAAAAAATATCTTATTTTGTCTAAATCACTCAATTTATTCACTACGCAACGGGCGTCCGTTATACGTACTCCTACATCCATACATATATTAATATGCGAAATTTTGTATGAATGTTTATTGTTCTTTCACGCTAAAATGGCTAAACGGGATTGTGATGAAATTTGGCATAAATACATTTTATCATCTAGATTGATATATAGGCTACTCTTTGTCTCGGAAAAATTCAAGGTTCTGTGGGAATCTAAAACAAATCTCACTCTAATGTGGACGAAGTCGCTGACGGAAGCTACTAATCTATATAATACTGACTCCTTGAGTTCCTGGTGTTGGCGTTGCAACGCAGCTAGTTCGTCTCTTAATCCAGCCAATTGGGTAGCGTGGGCAGTACGCAGCTGTTCCAGTTGGGCTTCCAAAGCGCCGCGTAATTGGGAATCGGCGCGTTGTTCTGCCGCAGCCAATTGTACTCGTTCCGCTGCCTAACGGATGGAAAATTGCATTAGTTTTAGGGCCACTTGCAGCAAATTTGCTAAATCTTTAATCTAGAGGCGAGGGGAAAATAAAACTAAACGTATAATGTTACCTCTAAAAAGGGGGCATTATTCTCTCAAAGCGTCGGCCGCTTTTTGTTCACCTCTCCTTCCATCAACTTGGCAAGGGAATTATTAAACTAAACGTATAATGTTACCCGTAAACCAGCGCATTCCTTTCTCAAAAGCGTCGGCCGCTTCTTGTTCTCTGCTTCGAAAAGTGCTACATCTCTCCAATACATTATCGGATTCATTGGTGAAAGTATAATGGACAGTATGTATTTTGTTGTTATCTTAGAACATTTAAATTCTTACGGCTATAATCCATACTTATATTATAAGTGTCTATCTGTCTGTATGTAACCTCTTCACACTTTAACCGCTGTACCGATTTAGATGAAATTAGGTATGAAGGATAACTATAATTCCCGACCCAGGACAGAACATAAGATAGTTTTATACCCGAAATCATCCTCTAAGGGGGATGAAAAGTGCCCCACTAATTTTATTAAAGGTAAAGTTTATATGAGAAACGCATCGACTCGGCGAGGGAAATATAAAACTAAACGTATAATGTTACCTGTAAACGAGCGCACTCTTCTCTCAGCGCGTCGGCCGCTTCCTCCAGCTGCCGCTTCTTGTTCTCCGCTTCACGCATCGACTCAGCGAGGGAAGCGCAGCGAGCCTCATGCTGAGATATCAACAGTCTGCATTCGCCCAATGTACGCTCGTACTCTTCGATCTGTTGGACGAAATAAAATAAAGTAGAATTTAATAAAATTCTTTATAATAAGACAGAAAGGAATACTTTTTTTATAATGATGTTACTATATTATATGTTTTCATTAGAATTTTGTCATAATTCTTGTTATTATGGATCCTAGTCAGGATCTACAGATAAAATTACTTTTAAATAAAATAAACATATTTATAAGCACATGTAGCCCGGAACAACGGCTTAACGTACTATCAAAAGTACGAAGGAACTGGAGATAATTAATTTTTGGTCACTCATCCTATCCATCAGGCCATTAAGAAAGCTGATTTCCACGATCGCAGACCTAGCACTAACCACTGCGCCAACGAATTCCTCTCGAATTTCATTGTCCAATTAATTGAAAGAATCAATTAGAAAACATCATGTATGCTACTTACCTTCTGATTAGCGTCAATATTGGCAGACTCCAGTGAATGACAACGCTGCACGATATTCTTCACTTCGCTCTTCATCTTGCTGATGTGCAGACGAGCTACTGTGAATTCCTCCTCCAGTTTTCCGACAGTGTCCACATTGAGTTTGAAGTCCAATTCAGAGCCTCCAACCGCCGCGCCTATTTCAGCCAAATCCCGTAGAAGATTGGTGAGAAGTTCAGCTATGCGTTTGCGTTGATGAGCTGATAGGTCGCGCAGTTGTTGCAGCTCAGACGTGGCAGTGGTCAAAGCGCTCTAAACAATGTAGAAAATTAAAATTAGAAATTATTTTAAGAAACCAGATTGATAGTGGACTACATTTAGTGATCCTATCTCTAACGAGAACGTAATATCCTTCTAGCTAGGGATGATAAATATAAAATAAGTTTATCATTAACATTGTCACAAACCCAAATCATCCGTAGAACTTGGTTAATTATTCAAAAAAGGTGCACCACTGAAAAATGTAATATTGTTATTTGGCTGCATTCAGAAGATTGTTAATACTTTACAGTAGGATGATTTTGTAAAATAAAATCTCACTGTTAATGGTTAATTGATCCCAATTTTAACATTATGTTAAATATACGTTTTTCATAATGGTTAAATACTCATTATGTTCTCAAATGACAGAATGTGTCTATGACTGTTGTAGCAGCCCGTAATAGATATTATATAGTAATAAAAAAAAATGTTGAAGATTAGAGGATGTGTATAATATTGAGGATGCCACTTGACATGCGAGTTCTAAGTTGCTTTTTTTCTGCATTGCGAAATTAGTACTTGTATTTGTGTTTGCAGTAGGCCCAACAGCCTTTATTACAAGCATTTTGATATGCTCTCGGGTTTACTATGCACATTGATAAATTCGTAGATTGAATGAAAGTTATTTTTGATACCAGAAAAATTGAAAGTGGAGCATTTAGTTCATGTTGCGTTAATAAACACGGCAGAGGTTAACACACCCGCTCACTGGCTTTAAGCCAATGAGGGTTAATGGCCAGAGCTATAACTAAGGCACATACTACATATGGAGACAGTTCAATAGCCAATAACATATCTACTTTAACAATCATAATATTCTCTTGTATATTTAAACAGGTATATGGGTAATACTTATAAAGCTATTATTTATTCGGAATGTTCCAAAAATTCAAAGATACTCATTTAAAAGAAACACATTTTGCCATTTTCACACTATTATAGTATTTACAAAATATCATGAGCGCAAAACCTTCTACTATCCGGGGCAGCCATTCTAACGTCTTTAACCACTTGACTTATAAAGTACAATAGAGATATATATTTTTTAATGTAAAATGGTGGCAACCTATTACTTGAACCTTCTGATGGCATTGAATATCACTATCTCCCTACTTCTGTAACGTTTTCTTCTTCCCCATCCCACATGGGGAGAAAGAAAACTTTACAGAACTAACTACAAAACTCTGATTCGAGCAGTCAATCAGCTGTGACCCCATCTCTCTTGCAAAGAATGTTTTTCAACACCATCCATACTAATATTATAAATGTGGAAGTGTGTCTGTCTATCTTTCTGTCAGTTTGTTACCTATTCACACTTAAACCGCTGATCCGATTAAGATGAAATTTGGTATAAAGATAGTTTAAGCCCCTAGATATCCTAGAAATGATACTTTATTGGGGTGACCAGGCGGATGATTTTTCGGGGATTTTTTTTTTCACACAGACGAAAAGGTGGGCACCCACTAGTCACTTATAATTCGTTGGTTTACAAATCGATTTTAGTATTTTAATGAGCTCATTTACCAACTAGAAGCAACTTTTGCAAATATTCGACATTTAGTGACAGTTTTGTCTTTACCTGTTTGGTCTGCAACTCCTCCGACATCTGATCGCACTCGCGGCTCTTGCTGTCCACTTCCTGCGACTTCTGGTCGTAGTTGACGGCGAGCTCCTCCAGTGCTTGCAGCACTTCTTTCACCTCCTCCTTGGCCGCTTCGTTCTCCTGCTGGATTCTGTTCATGTCACCCTGCAGGGCTTCGTAGTCACGCCTATACGGATAATAATATTTAAAGTCTAATACAAACGTTCTTTATTCAAATGAAAACGTAATACAAATGTTTCCATTAACTATAAGAGTATGCCTACATCGTCGTGACGTGGAGATGTGGATTAAGTCTTTCTTTTATTTCTTTCTGTGGGAAAGAAAAGGCGGAAAATTCACAATCCGTTATTAAAGCTAAACATTTTCAATTGGAAATACGATTGTAGAAGCACTTTTGCAATAACCAATCATCGAATGAGTAATCAAATAACATTTGGGCTGAAGGAAGGCATATTATACAAAATCAAAATCGCTTAAACACGACTTTGGTTGAAAATGAGTTAATACATACCATTTGAATCAGATTTTTTTTCTGCGTCGGTCTGTTTATGTGTCGTGAAGATATGAGTACTTTTTTGGCGTTTAAGCAACTTAATTTTTTGATATTTTTATTGTTCACAACGCTGAAGCGACATACATTTTGGTGTTTTTTGAACCAATGGCGCTTACGCCCTACCATTTGGCGTATAATTTGATGTTATCTTGACAAAAAATGAATTGCGGGCCTAGTGATTTTCGCTCAAGCGACATCTAATTCGTATAGTAAAGACAGTATGTAAGTTTTTAATAGAAGGCTATATAGAAAATATTATTTTATGAATATGTTTTTATTTTTATGGTGCTACTTCGCATTTACAATGAGTTATGATTCTTTTTTCGTGAAATAAAAAAACTATAATCCTCGTTTCTGTAAAGTTACTAAAGTGGCGTTTAAGCGATTTTGCCTTTATACTGTCAAATGTTAATCTTGTTTTATAATCTACAAATGTGCCTCATATCATTTATTAAAGTGAAAACTTCGAAACTTTCTGAGAAACAGGTCTGACTTTATGTACCAATTTAAATAGAATCTTGCAGTAATAACATAAATGCAAAATTACAGTCGCTTCTTTACCTTTTTCCTTATGCATTATAATCGATTGTGGAGTTGACAGAGCGTTAAAAAGTTGATAACAACAAGATTATAAATTATTTATGAATCTCGCTCCTGTAACGATGCCCGCATTTCCCGATGGCTAGGCCTAAATTGGACTTAATTTCGAATCAGTTTTTGTAAATATGTACAATCAATTGACGTAAAAAGTTTTTAATCTTATGAAAGGATTTCCTATAGATTACACTTTGCAAGGGCATGCAAACAATGTCACTGCAACGAATGATTGCTAAGATAAGACCATTAAATGTACGATTAGCCAATGATAAGAAGGCTTGCGACGTCATAAGTAGCTAAAGTTGTAAGTTGAACGAGAGTCTTCAGAACATAGTAAAATATCTCATGTTATAGTTTTGCACATACATTTCCACTGGAAGATATTGCCTAATAATTAGAGTACATAATTAATTGCATTTTATATGAACACTAGCTGACCCAGCGAACTTCGTACCGCCATAAAAAAAATTAATTAAAAAAACATTGTCCAGCGGACAAAATTGTGAATCTAAACCATTCTCAGATCCCCTTGAACACACACAAAAAATTTCATCAAAATCGGTCCAGTCGTTTAAGAGAAGTTCAGTGACATACACACTCACAGAAGAATTATATATATAAAGATATATTTCATTTTCGCGGTCATATTGTATACGCGTGTAAACTATTCTAATGTGACTTAAGTATCTGCATCTGCGTATTTGCCGGCCAGATAGACGCGGCAAAGTAATTCCATTTTATAGACAATTTTGCGGATAAGGCAACCACAAGACAGTGGAAAAGTCTTTATTATATATGGTCGCCCCGTAGCTATAGTCATGGTATTATTTGATCCCTTAACTGTACTGCAGTAGTACGCAGTACTTAAAAATCTTGTAATGTATTCAGCGATGCTGTGCAATTCTACATCACAATTTCATATTATATTTTTTACCTTTAGTCTAAGCTCCATATAATCTAATTGCAACAAGTAGTAAGTCTTGCACCGATAAACATTCATTAAAACATGTGCATGAGTGAGGCGTCAATGATTTATGATACATATATTACAACACACATTATATACTCATGAAATAACAACCATCATATACATTTCATTTATGTGAAAGTGAATTTCTTTGACAGCTTAAAAGAAAAATTACGTCACTGTAATACAATTTGTCTTCATAAAAGATTATGAAGAAAAATTGTATTACATTGACATGATTAGTTTTTCTTTATTTTTAGTAATAATGCGAAGTTTGTTGATTACTTACGGTAGCACTCGAGAGACGTAAATATAATAGATTAAACTTTACGCGTCACTTTCTTTGCCATAACAATATAATAAGACAATACTTTGACAAAAAAATAAATTTCATTGACGTCTTCGAGTGCAGTCGGTAATCACGTTTTTTTTATAAGAGGCGCAACAAATTACCCCACCCCACCTGATGTTAAGTGTCTAGTCGGAAAGAAAGATGATGCGACAGAGGCTGTGTTGCTCCAGCCTCCTCCTTGCCCGCCAGGACCTAATCCCCTACCTGACGGAGCTCTATTCACCAGCAGAAACACAACACCACCAAAAGGTAGTGTTATTTACTGTGGTCTCCTGTAAGGTGGAGGTTACTTCCCCAGACGGGCGTTCCAATTCGAGCAGAAAATCTGCTGTGCCCTACCTCTTTTAAAATGTCGAAGATTATGTAAAGATACAGCACAGATATTAATGGGTTCCAAACAAATTAAGAGCAAAAGTAAACAAAAACTTTACTCATCAAATCCCACGTAATGATTCATTAAACGGACTTCTCAACATATTCACTTTTCGTGACTTTTAAAGAGAAGCCAGAGGAAATCAAATCGCTAAGAGATAAAAGTTCTAAGCTTCTTGGAAGCTGGTGGGCTAAAAGAGATACTTTAACTTGAAATCTTTTAGGTTACAGAGACTACAGTTCCATTAGGACTGCAAACCCCCCAAAAATCTGGAATAATTATAATAATTTGGGGAGCAGAGGCCATTGCCTCAGCCTCCAAGCTATATAGGTAACATTACGTCTTCTGAGTCTATTGGCTGTATTTTACTTAAGATTGATAATTACAACTGGCCCTAAATGCAGCGGTTCGTGTAAGTACTCACCTGGTGCATGCAATCAGCTCCTCCTGTTCCATCATCTGCTCCTTGAGCTTCTCGATGAGCTGCGAGTGCTGGTTAATCTCCTCGTCTTTGTCGTCCAGTTGTTGGTAAAGCGCTTCCAGTTTGCCTTGCATCGTCGCGTCTTCGACAACGCTAGACACAGCCACTGGCACCGGCTGAGAATATACATAGCTCTCAAAGATGGAATAAAATAATAATAAACTTAAAACATCTGTCGACATATTGCGTGATCTCCCATCTCCCGACAAATAATAAAATCTCCCGACAAACGAGCATGAAGGTACACCTTCCGTTTATCCTGTACAATTAGATCAATACTGTGTTCTCCAGACAACAGATCCAAAATCCCCACTTTTAAATATATAATCCAGACATTAAGATTCTCTATCTGGCTACCCTAGTCGACCAAGTCTGTATCGGACTCGCACACAAAGGGTTCCGAACTATCTCAAAAGGTAAGGTTATAACAATTTATGTACAACTTATCGGGTTTTACAAAAACGCCAAAAAGACACTTGTTCCGTTTATAAGGAGATCCCTATTTTTTTATTTATCAATTTTATTATTTGTTGTGATAGCGCCCATTGTAAAAAGTAATCTGTGAAAATATCGGTAGTCTACCTATTTCCATTCAAGAGATAGAAAAGAACCCTGTGTGTGACAAGATAGACAGAGCATGGTTCCGTTTGTCACCTTTTTCGTACAGAACCTTATAATCCAGGCAACAAAAATGGGAAATGCTCAGAACACAATATTTGACTTCGTAACTTTGTTAGGACTAGTTAGGAGGTAAAAATATCAAAAGTCCCCGCCCGCCCTTAACCTCGTAAGTCCCCGCGTACTTGTATAAGTACAAATAAAGGATAGTAGTTCAGACCTGATATTTTAACTACATATATGGAGTGCGTACCTAATGTACTTGCCTAAGTACAAATTTTTAATTCCCCATTTACCGGGTAGTTTTTTTTACAACGGCAACACAGACACAGTCATTCTCATTCTATATTTCATGGTCGATTCCGCCCTGTTTGACAGCTAACGTCAACTGACAGTGTCAGTGTCACTTTTTCGCAAGATGGCTATGCGGTCGGGACGACGACCAGCACGAGGTAAGATTATCTGTTTATATCCAATAAATCATTTGTTTTTTCTTTTGTTTTATAAATGAATTAGTGTATATAAATACTGAATATTTTAAAATGAACAAAATTTAAAAGATGACTGTAATTTTAAGGAGATTTCTGATCGGTCAAAATAATATGTACTTGACGTGGTACGTTAGGTGTTTGTTACATAAATATTTGTACTTGTGGCGGTACGTTCGGTCTATATTACAAGTTCATCTCCTAGAAAATTAAAATAAAAACTATTTTTTGTCGTGTTCAGTTGACAAAAATGTTAAATTATAGCCTATTACCATTTATTTTGATCTCTTATACTTGACTGTGATTTCGCTATATAATGTCATATAAGTAGTACGTAAGGAAGATTGTTTGCAAATTTCAGCGTTTTCTATTTTATTTAATAAGTAGGTATAGTGATGCCGTTATTCTCTGATTAAGATAAGATAATGGCCTAAATTGTCATTGAGGCTGAGTTTTTAATTGTTTTTTTTAATGAAGATTGTTTACGTTGTAATAAAATGATGTTAAGAGGAAAAATATGTTTTGTTTCGATACTAAATATTTTTTTTAACTTTTTTTACATTGTTTTATTACACGGTGTAAAAACCTAATGTAGTCACACAAGTACAAAATATTTTCAATAAATTTCTTCTTAAAAAGGTGCTTTACATAATAAACATACCGTAAAAAATACAGACAACAAGACCTCACTTCAAAAATTACGTATAAGCGTTTTTTCTTGTCTCGGTCTGAAGTACTATTCTTGATTTGTACTTGCTATAGTACATCCGTCAGATAAAACTAATGCTGTTAAAAAAACACGGGACTTACGAGGTTAAGCCGGGGGGAAGGGGGGGGGGGGGATTGAAGGTCCCATTTTTAGGGTTTTCGCATATATCTCGGAAACTATGCATCCTAGCGACATGAGACTTTGACAAAAGTGAAAGCTGATTAAATTTGCTAAAAGTCTTATTCAGTCAAGTTTTTTGATATCTTGTATAGTTTTCGAGATATCCGCTCTTAAAAGTCTGTAATTATGGAAAAAAAAATGCTTCACATTTTTGCTCTATTTGACCGGATAACTCTTCAATAATGCCGGCCGTAGGGTTGTTGGTTCCACCAGTGAGCAGCATGCAGATTTCGGACAAGCCCGCCAAAACAAGGATGGAGCTGACATTGCCAAGCTCACCGATTGGTTTGAGAAATTTCCTCCCTTCCCAGAGACCAGAGATATTATCAAGTCACCAGAAATCCAGAAAGCAGCAGCGGTCTTTTCACACCCTTTCTCCACCACCGCTTAAGTACAAAAGGCAGGTGAAACCTGCATCTTAAGGTGGTATGGAGCTCCAGCGAAAGAGATTTCCCTCAATGCCTACAGGTACAAGTCATTCTTGAAATCAGTGGCCACCATCAAGCCTGATATCTTTTGTCTTCCTCCCACCGAGGGAGCAGTAAAACAGCATTCCCAGGAAGTGGTGGCAATTTTTTTTCCATAATTACAGACTTTTAAGAACGGATATCTCGAAAACTATACAAGATATCAAAAAACTTGACTGAATAAGACTTGTAGCAAATTTAATCAGCTTTCACTTTTGTCAGTCTCATGTCGCTAGGATGGATAGTTTCCGAGATGTATGCGAAAAGCCTAAAAATGGGACCTTCAATGCCCCCCTTCCCCCCCGCTTAAGGGCTACGGACGGGGACTTTTGTAAAGTTTACCTCCTAACTAGTCCTAACAAAGTTACGAAGTCAAAAATTGTGTTCCAAGCATTTCCCTCTATACCTGTTTTTGAGCATTCGTTGCCTGGACTATTAATAAAAATGGTAGTTAACGAGCACAATCGCCAGTCTTATTGACGCCCATAACCTCTATCGAAGCTTTTGTTTCCAGGGTTGCCCTAACCACATGGCCTACCCCATAGAGATTTGACAACTAATTTTGGCGGTGAAACCGCTGAGCTCAACTTATCATGACATTACGGTCATAATCCAATTAAAAAAAGTAAAGCAATAAAAAAAGTAAGGAAGTAAAGCAATTTACTCAATTAACTGAAGGCACACATTTCACATATCACACATCACATATTAGATTTAAATTGTGGCTCTATTTAAAGTTTAAATGTAAAAACAATATGTAGATAAAGCTGACAATGATCAATAACATTGAATGAAATATGTAAGTATTTCATGTAAAACGGAAACAATTACGCAAATTAACAAATATTTTTGTACGTAGGAAATACAAGGGCGCATGCTGACCTTGTTTCGTTTTATAAACTTAAAAAAAATACACTTAGAAACCGTTTGGAAAAATGTAATCTTTACTTTATTCTTGCATTCTTCTTTGTTGCAACAAAAGAGATATAAATATTATTTTAAATGGCTAGTACGACGGGCTTTTGATTTCAGCGAGAAAGTAGCTGATAGTTAGTCGCTTCCCCACCGGCGGTAACTTTAAGTATTTTTAATATACTCGATATCATAATTTGATTAAACTCTTAGTTGATTAGGCATTACTGCAGAACCTTTCACCAAGGTCGATATGTAGGCGGCGAAATAACTATCATTTCTATCATATAATCATACATGCTTAACTATGATTTCATTGAATATAGTATTCGACTTTATTTAATAAGTTTCAATGTTATAGATGCACTGATATATTTATTTATAACGTTTCGCATCTTTTCAGGCTGAGTGGTGTGCGTGAAAACCTAAGAAACAAATATAATACATATCCACCAAAACAGATTGGTGTAGGGGAAATGTACATTCATTCATTCATTAACACGTAGAAGCCAGCTCCGCCCTTTTAAGCATTAATTGAATGAACGTAATTGTTATGCGGGCGCCACAACGACGTAAAAACGACCTAGATTAAAGATTTGCATGTACTGACGCGCCAATGTTCGAATTGGCTCATCTGATGGTCCAACATTAGCCAATGTTTGTCACATAGCCACGTTGCAGTGTTTCACAACTTTAAGATTAGTAAAAGCATCTTAATTTATAAAAGATTTTATATGGGCGTAAATAAAAATGTCGTTCAAAGTTTCTTTTTTGTCACAAATGAGAAGTTTAACAAGTAATTAACTGAACAGTTATCATGCAACCAACCAACCGCCTATATCAAACAAAAATTTATTAAAAACGAGTGTGAAAAACTCACACTTATTACAATCCTTGGTTTCTTGTACGTGATTAAAAAACCAATTGTTATTATGTTTAAGTGTTTAGAAAATATATCGTTACTCACAGGTACTGGTGGCTTCTCTTCAATGAACGACGTAACAGGAGTGACAGCTTCGATCTCTTGCAAGTTGACTTGTTCCTCAGGTCGAACTGTCTCACCAGAGCGCCAACGGCTGAGCTCGGCTTCCAATTTTTCAACCTGTATACAGAACACAGACAATACAGACATATTGTGATGATTATTGTTCTGCTGCATTTTGTGTATCAAAGTAACTTTCGACTCACTAAACCATTTTGTTTTGTTCATTGCTACTTCAAATTTTGATGAGAGGTCAAAATCTTCTATTATGATTCTAACTTCACAATTTATGTGAGCTGATTACGCGTTTAGTAATAGTAGCTTAACAAATAATATTACGATAGAAAAATATCGTATCATCAACTAAAAATAAAGTTACGAAATAGAAGGATTGTTCTACCCCATTCGATTTGTTTCGCTCACCTTGCCTTTGAGCCTGGCCACTTTCTCCTTTTCTCTCTCATAACGACGTTTCCATTCTTCAGCCGTGAGCTCTTCGTTGACGCATACAACATTCTTGACAGTCTTTGCTCTAAAAGCATTAATCGATTTGTTAAGTAATAATTTTTTTTTCGCTTAAATTAGTGAAAATTTGTAACTGCATGGGGCCTCTGTTTAACACCCAAACAAGCAATAATGTCGCAATACAATAACGCCATTCAAATCGCCTTTACATTTTATAATAGGAGCCAAAGATATATTTGTAGTGCAAGTGTATTCACTTCGTACTTTGACTGCATTTGATAATACAACCTTGGATGATATGTTTGATATGATAGAAAAAAACATTCAGAAAATATGCACACGCCAAATCAAATGGTACGCATTAACGAGTATGTTGCATGTTATAACTTACCTTTTGCCAAAGTCAAGGGTACTCTTTGTCTCGCTCTCATTGAACGATGCTGGCGAACAACAAATGACTATGGTCGTCCTAGCGTTACCACCCAGCGATTCTTGCAATATACGCGTCAATTTCGAGTCTCTGTAAGGTATGTGCGATTTGTTTCCGTCAGCCAACGCCGAAATGACGTTACCCAATGCAGATAATGATTTGTTGATGTTTTTCGCTTCGTCGAGCACAGTACCCTCAGCACCAGTTTTAGATACCTGTACAAATGAGGTTAAACAATGAACAATAGCCAAACAGGTTTTTATTAACTCAACTATGACTTGGTTTTTATGTCATACTAATTTATAGCACAACATACCTTTTCAGAACCAGCCAAGTCCACAAGATACAGTTTGCCAGAGAGCTTTTTCTGATTTTCTAAGTTTTCCTGCTTAACATTTATGAGGAAGACTGAATGAGATCGAGATGAGTGTTCATTCATGTCTGGAATTCGAAATTATGAGTCATAACCTGGTACAAATATAACTTAGCTGAATAATACATTATTAACATGACTTTAAAATAGGAATATATTTAATGATGAATATTATTTTGAAACTATAGCTTACTTGTCACTGCAATGTGTCTGTTTGACTTTCCTTCCTCAATAACTTCAAAAACTTCTTCAGGACTTGACACAAATCTTTCAGTAGCACCTTTTACAAATGGAACTCTGTTTTTGTCTTCATGAACACTAAGGTTCACTTTTGATACTAGAAAAAGAATATTAATTAGATGGTTAAAATTTTACAAAAAAAACCATAATATGTTATTTTTTTATACCATCCAATAAGTCTCTGATTTTGTCCATGTAAATTTCGAAATATGAGACCTTGATGTGAAATTCGAGGTTCTCTTCCATTGCATAGATATGATTAAATATGTCATTGACTATCCGTGGTATAATACCCTGTTTCCCTGGATCACCTGTAGGAAATCATGGAATATTAAAATTAATTTCGTGACATAAACCTTGTAAATGAAATAGGCAAAAAAAAACAAATTTTACCTATGACACCCTCCATCGTATGTGTTTTACCAGAACTGGTCTGTCCATAGGCAAATATAGTACCGTTATAACCTGCCAATACATCTGACACAATGCTTTTTGCAGCTTCATTGTAGACCTTTTCTTGAGTTGCATTTGGTTTGAATACTTTGTCAAATAAGTATACTTTACCCTTAAATAAAAAAATGTATGCAAATTAACTGAAAAATATTTTTGAAGCATTTTTCAGTCCACTGTGAACTGTTTGAATATTTTGTTATAATAAAAGAAAACATACCAAAAACAATAATTCTCAAAACATTACCAGGCATTTACTAAAATGTTAATCTGCTAGGCTAGGTACTCTTAAATGGTATAAAAAAATGTTTTTAGAAATAATAAATTGATATTAGGTTAGGTTAGGTTTAATTTAGAATATGATTGTATTTAAATAGTCCTGTCTTCCAATAAAAAATGCAATATTAAGAATGTTAAGTACCAACTAATAGGTTTAGAGTTTCTCATCCATGCTATAGCAAACTTTACTGTTCTGCCAGCTCTAGAAAGGATGTTGCATCCTAATACTTTGTGGAGCGAGTGGAGAGAGCATGAGCTGTGTGAGTAAGTAATACAGTAGTTTGATTTTTCTTTATATTAAACTTTTAGTTAAATATTTTGCATCATCTCTTAGCATCTTATATTTAACCCAATTATTTTATGAACATTTGTTGTGCCCTTCACCTCAGCCATCAGGACTGCTTATGACTGTCTCAAGGTATTTTAAGATGATCTATTAAAGATAATTAATAATAAACAATGATAATATTATTTCAGGATAGATATATATCATGATATACATAGTCTGATGAATAAGTACCGCAAATTTAGGATCTCTGCAGGCTATATATTGGATTTACGAATTTTCTATGGCAGTGTATTAGTACTCATGTCCTTCACTTATGCTGGCAAAGTAGAGTATTTTGAATGTTTGGATAATTTATGACATCTGTTTTCCCTGAACGTGTTTTGGCTGATCTTAGATTTTTTGCTATTCCTATAAATGAGATTAAGATTCTGTATAGAAAAAAAGAATAAAAAAAGAAGAATAAAATTAAAAAAAGAGAGGATGCATCCCGATTCATAATTGTGGCATATAGTGAAGCTACTTTGGCCATATACAACATTTATTTTTTATTTAGGGGGCACAAAACATTCCCAGAAGGCAGAGAAGATGTGTAATAGCGTGTCGGCAGCCAACAACAGACGAAATTGGATTAACATTAGAGAAGTTGCTGGGGAACTAAACATATCGGTAGGCACGAGATATTTGATTGTTGTCGTGCTCATTTTGGGCAAGCAACGGGCCGCCGCGGAATTTGTGTCAAAATTAGAGCACATTTCTCAATTGCTTGTTCCCAATTTTTGACCATAAAGCAACAGACTAATGATGCTCCAGCCACCTATATTCCCCAGATTTGGTCCCCTGTGCCTTTTCGTTTTCCCAAAATGAAAAGACTAGACCTAGATTGAAGTAGACACCGCATATGCTTCAAATTTTATGGAAACCGAGCATGTCATATTATGAGTACTCACAAGAACAAATAGGTGGAGAAAAAGCATGGGCACTGGTCACCTATTTTGAATTATATATTTTAGTTAAATATTTTCTAAACAATACAATTGACATCCAGTATTGAGAATGATGATGCACTAACATAAATGGAAGACTATTGGACTTCCATTTGGCTTGCGAAGTACATACATTTGTGTTATCTATTTAAATCATATCTGTGGAAAAGATCTATGAAAGGATGATGCTATTTTTTAAGACAGGCAAAAGGCAGGATCAAAGGAGGAGCTGAACAGGCTCACAAAGAATGTTTTTTAATATTAGCAGATTCAGAACATGTTTTCACACATGTATTATATCCGAGGGGAATAACTTTTAAGCAGGCCAAATAGATATTCCCGAATAAATGAAAACTGTTGGAAAAAACATAAAGTTTGCAATATTTTTTTAATAATCCTCATTTAATGTGATATATCATGAAACCCTGATAATTACTAATATTCAATATTTAAATTATATGTATAATTGTTGAGTTAAACTGATAAAATAAAGTTTAAAATGACTTGCTCAGTTTTATTAGAAATATTCAAGAGATCTGTTATTACCATCTCTCATTATTCGTCATACATGATATCATCCACTAAGCAAACTGGATGAGTCCAATATAATCCTTCATTACACAAACAGGCAGATATAATTATTTATTGGTAAATTACTCATACAAGAAAACAATTTTTTTAATGCATTGCAAAGAGCTAATAATAATTATAGTAACATAATTATGTTGATTTAATTTTAATAAATTTACATTGGAGAAATTAATTTGATAAATCTTGATTCACATAGGTATTGTGATAAAATAAGTAATTTTAGTCATATTTAATAATTTGATGGAAGCAGTACATTTATAAAACATTTAATTCTATCTAAAATAAATTATTGAAAATAATGAGAATAGTAATTATAAATGTGTAATATTTTAGATTGTGTTGAAAAAGAGGATAGAATACCTAATATTCACTAGACTTATAAGGCAAAATCTAAGTCTTGTCAATATTAGATATTCTACAAATTTTATTTTATTACTTTATTTCTAATTTTGCTGAAAGAAATTATTCTATGCAGAGAAAGTCACAGGTATAATAGAAGAATTTATCATTGTTTGGAGGTAATTGTCATCTGGAACCTATATGACACTTTGCTATACACAAATGTTTCAAACTATAGAATTAATTTGAAATATATTAAGCATTTTACTAATAATATGTTGTTGAAACACCAATCATTGTTACAAAACTGCATTCGGCACACTCTTCTTAATTACATGTATATGATTTCAAAACTGTACCTACTCTTAATAAAACAAGAATGTAACATATAAAAAAACAACAACATAATTATACCTTTTATTTTCATAGCAATTCTTTTCCATTGCTTAACTCAGTTTTAACACAATGTTGCAAAAAATAAGTGATAATAGGTAGGTACAGCATACAAAATATTAACTAGTATATTATTAAAACAAAAGTAGTAATAGTAATTGTTGTACGTAAAATTTAGAATATTATATGAATAAACAATATCTGTATAATCAAGAATATGTATGAGATTCTTGGGTCAAGGTCGAGAAGGTATTTGTATTGATTTTCGGCAAAACAAAGACACAATTTTAGGAATCTATGAAAATTTTAAGAGAATCTTCTGAATTGTGCGATCACAATCATAATCAACGAAGCGGAATAAAAAAGAAAGGCCATTTCGTAGCAGGTGAACAAGTCGTAATGTATTAGTCATCATGGTCTAATTTAGGGTGATGATAGAAGAATGCTACATGAATTCCAATTAGATATCAACGACTTACCCCTATTGAAATGCAATTGTCATCAGGTCCCGAAGGAAATTTCACAATAAATTTAGAACCAGCCTTTTCTTCAGAGTCATTGAGTGGCCGAAATCGGCATACGACTCTAATGCTGTCTTCAGCAGCAATCTCACGATCTGCTGCCATTTTTTATTAAAAAATACCTTACACTAAACACCGTTTAAGCAATTAAAAATAAAATGTTCTGGGAACTTAAAACCGTGCATGAAGAACTACAAAGATAAAAATTTATGTCACTGAAAAATCTTCATGACAGTAATATCAAAATGTCGGCCATATTCTCCACAGGAGGAGGTCTAAAGTGGTTCCTATTGGTCAACCACTTCACTTCTACCCATTTCAACCAACTTCAGAAAAAAAATATCGATTAGGAGCCAACCAACTTAAGCGTTTTACGAAAGAACGTACGAAACTTCTAACGAGGGTTGCAAGACTTAGTAAAATAGAAACAAGAATGAATCGATTTACCTATAAATTGAAAAAAATAATAATGTATACATTTGGAATAAGAATCTCGCCATGTACCTTTTAATATTCATATGGCTATTATTACTTATTTGCAGTTTGTCATTTTGAAAGCTGGACCCTATTTCATAAAAGAAAAAAAAATAATAATAATTTATTTTCAGACAATGTTATACACTCCATAGAAACTATGTTAGTAAAGTATAGAATGAATTTCAAATAAAAATATAATTATGATCATTCCCTGCTAGAATACAAGAAGCCAACCTATACATGGGCTCCGGGGAACGCTCTAACGGTGAAGAATCCCATGGTTGCCTGTCGCCGCTACTCTGCTCTAACTGCTCTACTGCAGTAAATTCAAAGAAAGCTCTTTAAAAAAAATACTATCGTTATAATTCTACTAATTGTTCTGTGGTCACAAATGACTTCCATAAGTACTAATCTATGGAAATGATATACAGAGTGGTCCATCTAGTGACGTCAACATTTTTTTTAGATTCCTCGCACCTGGGCGTATTCGAAAATACCCCATGTATGTTCCGCGGTTTTTCTTAGTTTTCGGGTTATAATTTTTTGTGTATTTTTAATGATTTTTGCATTTTGCATTTCGCAGTCTTTTTTTTGTGACATAATTGTCTTGAATGTTGTTTTAATAAAAAACGTCTTTTTCTCGGTAGAATATTTATTGATATGAATATAATTAAATTGCACAATAGGAACAAGGAATTGAATGAAAATAAGAATTGCACAAATTTTAACTATAGAAATATATTTTGTTTACTAAAACATTGAACATGTAAACTTAAACTTAACACGAGAGACTCATCGTAACGTTACCGAGCGTTACACTTTTTCATAAGTGACTCCCAGCCGCAACCTAATTTAAGACGTTGTCACGTCAAAAAACAACTCAGCCTCCTGAAATTACTTAAAGTTACTAAAAAAGGTTTGAAAGTTGGAACTTTAGTTTTTAGTAGGATTTACTCAAACATTCAACTTCAATTTAAAAATTCAAAAAGGAATTTCCATAGCTTCTAGCTAAAATTAAAAACTCTGCATGCTTCTAAACTACCAATAATAGTAAATAATGTAGAAATAAAAGAAAAGATAAAACGAGATATTGACACGCGAGAAGAAATATTTAGAATAGATATCAATGATAGGTATTTTTCCTATACATAAGGGTAAACTGCCAGTCATTAGACACCTAATAGTTATTGGGAAATCGAATCATCATCATCAATCTCATTTTAAGTTCATTTTAGTTGTTATAATGTTTCATGAATTTACAATATCAATTTTATTTGGTCACTTTAAAGCGGTGCTTACAGCTACAGAATTTATAAATTTGCCGCTCTTTTGGAGGATCATGATTGAAACCGAGTCTAATAGCGGTATAATTTCTTTAAGGATATCAAATATCGATAATGAAGGAGTGTTTTATCAACATTGATACGGTATTTAATTATAATACATGGCAATATGTATGGTTTTTCTCATTACAACAATTTTACCCTATGACGCATATTGACCACAGTTTCGACCAATAAAATAAGAGTTGCAATAATTTTAACTTTGTTTTGATTGGTACTGGGAATTGTCTAGTGTTGTAGAACTATCAACAGTTTAACCATCGATAGTTGAACTTGTTAAATAATCATATCATCAAATAATATCGATACTAACGGGAGTAACGAAGGGTTGTAAAAAAAAAATCTATGCTAGACATTTAAACTGTTGATACTATTTTTACTATCACTATAATTATTGAGATAAAATATCCGCAGTATTTCACTATCAAAAAAATCCTAGATGCATAAAAATCAATAGTATTCTTTGTGAAATACATTAACCTCCTCGCAATCTTTAATGTGGTTAATAAAAACTATAAACGTGCAGGTGGCAGCAATACAGTGGCGGACTAAGCCCGTCAGAGGCCCGGGGCGGCAAAGCTGTGTGAGGCCCCCAGCTTTAAAAAAAATGTAGATTCTTATGGTTATTTCGTTAAAACCAGTCTTGTCAAATTCACCATAACTTTGTATCAGATGCCAACAATAATTTGGAAAATATTTTTGATTTGTTTAATAGCCCAATTCGAAAATTCTTGTATAAAGCGGTCTATGCATTCATACATTGACCGACGTATTTCTTCTTGAATTGATAATCCAGCATCATGAGCTGATTCACCCGGCATCGTTCTTTTTACCTTCACTTTTCCTGGTTTCTTGATGTTGATGAACCACCTTATTCAAGGCGTTTAGTTTGGTGATTCCTGTATCCAGAGTCATTTTTGGAGACCACAAATATTGTAAGACTTAAATAGAATGTAGTGAATGTAAATGTATGCGTACAAGAGTAAATTATTTGCACTAAATTCATTCAGGGATTCCTGAGCAAGTACCCGCTACAAAGACGGGAATTTTCCCAGCGTATTGGACGTTTCAGTAAAGTTAAAAAAAATATTAGTACCGCGTGAAAAGTCTAGATTACTGTAGTATTTTGATCTTGATGAAATTATGTAGGTACTAAGCACATTTTTAAAGTCTTGTTTAGGATTTGATCAGGGGAACGCGGAGGCATTTGGGGGCCCCCCAAGATCGGAGGCCCGGGGCGGGCCGCCCCTTCCGCCCCCCTGTTAGTCCGCCACTGCAGCAATATCTTCTGGAAAAAATAGTACAGAGGTCAAAAAAGGTATTTCCACTTCCACTTCCACTTTGGGTATTATGGATTCTGCCAATGTCAGGGTTAATAAAGGCACTGTTGATTTGAAAAAGTATTTGATTTGTCGTTATAGACCAACAATATAAATTTGCATGGGATTCTGAATAGTGGTGTCGATTCTGGCATGATTCTCTAAACTTGAAGCTATTAAATTTAGCTTCAAGTTTAGAGAATCATGCCAGAATATATTTTTTTTTCATTTTGTATAGATCAAGACAAGGATACACTATTATCAAATTTAGGTTTAGGTTTAGTGAATCATGCAAGAATCGATACCATTATTCAAGGTGTTATCGAGATCAAATCTATTGCTGCAACACTAATACTGCCAAAATTGTGATACATTTTGGGTCTTGGAGTAGTGTTCTATTGTATGTTGTATATTTATAAATAATTTTAAAAGGAAATATCAAGTCAAGCTATGAATTAAATATCTAATTGGAAGATAACTTAGCTAAGGTACGTACTAATTAATTCATAACATTCACTCGTGGACCTATAAGCATGGATATTTTAAAGATAGTGTGACCTGACCTGATTCATCCATCCAACCCAGGATTCATCTTGCTGTCAAGCGTGACGGTACTCAGTCCAATTTTTGTGTATGTTAAAAAATCAGCTTGAATAGAATTACATAGCTGTCGTAGGTATAAAGGAAGTAATTTGTGATAGAAGATGTAAACAAATAGGAGTTGACAATTTACTTTCATGAATTCACTGTTATGAGTTTACAATGATTTTTATTATGAATTTATAGAATAGGGTAAAAAATATATACAGAGTGAATGGTGTGGTTCTAACATTTCCTCATTAAGGGAAATGCTACAGAGCCAAGTCTCATTGTGAATTAATGAACCCTATAATCTGCTGTTATATCTCCAATATATTTACACAGTTGTTACTGTTTGATATCCTCCAGAATGTCAACCATCGGATATACTGTACTTCCAGGGCTCAAAAGTAAAAACTTCACAGTTTTGTTGGTTGTAATTTCGCATTTTTGTTATTAAAAAGGTTTCTGTTAACCACATTATTAAAAAAAATGTCACACTTATGCACTGGTAGTTTTTTAGAAAAAAATATTGAAAATTTTTACTTTTCTTATCAAGTGATGATACTTCACACTAGGTTAGGTTAGTGTTGTGACCACAACGTGCGAGCCGAGCGAACAAAGCGAGCGTGCCGCGGCAGCGGCCGGCGAAACGCCAGAAAAAAAAATCTGTTAAAAAGACCTTTTCTACAAAAAAAAAACAAGTATCACCTTTTGGGCCCTGGAAGTACAGTTTTACCCAACCATCCTAAACCCGGCGTAAGCAGAGTCAAAATATGCAACAGCGACAGTAGGGTTGGGTCGAGAGGACCCGTATAAGAAAACACCATAATTACAAAAATTAATATAAATTTGGTTTGTGGTTGTACTATCTGTATAAAACGATTATCGTTATAGGTTTTGAGTAGAAAAAAACACAACATGATACGAAACTATCTTTTTAATGTCATTTTCATAAGTGTCACAAAATATTAACAAAATGGACAACCTCTGTCTTAAAGTAATAAAATTTTAACAAAACAAACTTTTTTCTATAACATAAACTAATTTGTTACATGTTAATCAAATCTTTAGTATCCTTATAGTCATAGTATCCTTATCATCTGCGCAATCTCGGCAGTACAACATTGCATGCTCACTGCAGATGTATTTGCTTATTTGCTATAGCTCCGAAAAGTATTATTAGTTTTTTATCTTTTTTGGCAGAACAGTCTTGGCATCTCTTTCTTACATAAAGTATCTTCACAGGTGGCTCCTCATCAGGTGCCTACTCCTAAAAACTCTCTTATTCTTTTGCGCATAAGTCTTGGCAACTGAATGACATCTTTACAATTGCGCAAATGCTCACGAACCAGTATAAGGGCTTAAGTTTCTTTAGAAATTGGCGTTGCTTTGACGTAGTGTTGTTATTCTTGTTATGTAATATGTACGCATTTATTCCAGACATATTTAACATGCCAAAAATATCAAAATAAACAATATAAAACAACAAAAAAAAATATTTTTAAACAGCGCAAAATTACGACACGAATAGTATGGTTGGGTCATATTTACCTTTCTCGTGTTTGGCCGTGTCTATCACTCGCTGGGGCCGCAACACGACTGAATGGCGATATCCCACGTGGAGGGGGGATCATTAGCCCCAGCTACTGAGAAGTTTGGCAAAGTCGCACAAACATTTTAAGAAACACGCTCATTTGAAAACTGCTCGGACTCAACTGTGCGAATGCCGGGTTAAAAGAACACTGTCAAAAATGCCTGTGTGCCACCAGCCTTTAAAAGGTTGTCTTATTACCGCTCCCCTATTGAGATTGATTTAGCTTGGTTAAACTATGCTCATCTCTCAAACTTTACTACAGTGTAGAGAAGAAAACATAGTCGGCATAATTATAGCTCCCGCCAAGTGATCAATGAATGATCTCCAATCAACACTGAGAGCGCCTTTTGTTTATGCCTTCATTCAGTCTTGCTGCGTCAAGTCATAATGGAATATTAGTATAAAAAAAAGGCATGAGGTACTGTAAATTTTTCATTGCGTTTTGTTAAATATTTTATCCTGTGATATACAATTCCAATATAACTTCTATCAAAGCCTAGTTATGATTATAAGAACTTTAATGTAGAAAACTTTAGAAAAATCACTTGTCCTAATTACACCTTCGAATTAGTTATTTTTATAATAAAACTATACTTGATAATACATAATCTGATAGCTTTTATGATAAGTAGGCCATTAATATTTGGTTTTAACATAGTCATCACAGATAAATTTTTAGATATCATCATTTTAATGAGTGGCTGGAAGTAGTCCGGAAGTACTTTTGAAGTAGTTTGACCATCAGCACCATATTAGGTAATACAAATTTGAATTCTTAGATTTTCTTTCCATGAATACTAGATTACTAACATTCACACAGTTGGAAAAAAATGCTAAGAATATGAGGGTAACATTAAATCCAATATTTTGTTGCAAAGCATTAACACCTATACATATTTACAACCTCTGTGGCCGAGTGGTTTATATGCCGGGTTTCATGGTGTTGGTGATTCAAGAGGTCCTAGGTTCGAATCCTGATGGGGGCAGATGTTTGTGTGATGAATACAAGCATTTTGTACTCCAGTCATGGATGTTTAATATGTATTTCTATATAAATATACTTATATATTGACAAGTATTCTATCCTTTACCCTAGTATCCCAAAACAAAAGCCTTACAGTGCTTACTTTGGGGCTACGCTAATTGGTGTGTTTAAAAAAAAACTTAATAGCGAATATAGATGACTTTTTAGGTTTCCGTAGCCAAATGGCAAAAAACAGAACCCTTATGGATTCGTCATGTCTTCTTCGTTTGTTCATCGTCATTTGTCCATATGTCACAGCCACTTTTTTCAGCAACTATAAGACTATTGGTAAGAAGATGTATTCTGTGAACTGCATTAAGATTTTCTCACAAAAATAGAAAAGAAAAAAAATTTTAGAGGTTCATTCATACTTAGAACTGAAATTCCAACAATTTTTTTTTATCAAACCCGTATGAGTGGGTTATCTATAGATAGTTCTTCAAAAATGATGTTGATGTTTCTAATTTTTTATGATTAAACTAAAAAAGTATATGATGTACATTACCATGCCTACTTCCACCGAAAATTGATTTGAACGAGATCTAGTAGGGAGTATTTATTTTTAATACGTCAACAATCGTTAACCACAATTTACCTTTCATTCAATCAACTCAAATTTGTAAAAAAAAACATTCGGTTATATTTTATTTAGTGGTTTACATCCCCTTAATACATATTGTACTTTGACATATCCTGTGAAGAAGGTGTATGATTGTTGATTTATTGTTATAGTCACGTCTACGTCACAACCACTCCGTCCTGTTTCAGATATTTGAATTTCTTACAGGGTTTTCGCACTTTTCAATACTTAATTTCTTATGTTTTTATTTATTTTTAAGCATTTGACTGCTAGATGTTTAAATCTAAAGAAAAGTTTTACTAGAAATAAAAATCCACGCGGACCAGGCAGCAGACGGGACTCGAACCCGCACCCTTCGCAATCCGGGCGAATGCACTGACCAATTATGCTACCACGGCCCTCATGGCCGCGTCAAAATTTTCCTAGCCTTAAGCTGCAAGGCAGCCTCATCTCTTCGCATTGTAGGTAACCCACAATGTCAAATGAATACTTTTTCAAGTATTAAACATTTGAAAGAAGAAATAGCAATTATAGTTATGTTTTTATTTATTTTTAAGCATTTGACTGCTAGATTTAGTTAGTTAGTTCTTCAGGGCGGTTTCCGCACTTAGTCCTAATTATTGGACCATTGTGTGTGTCTCAAAAACATTCCCGTTTACTCCAGCCAGCCTATATCGGTCCAGAAGGAAAGCAACCTTCGTAGACTGCTGCAAGCTTCCGGAAACTTTTTTATCCGTGCGGTGACGGAGAAAGAATACAACTCACCGCCCCTTCTCTTCCCGTGGGTGTCGTAAGAGGCGACTAAGGGATATCGGAGCTTCCATCCGCTCTGCTGGTGGTAGGGTGCCTAACACCCGCCTGGTTTGTTACCACCGTGCGCATGGTGAAAAACCCGTGAAGTGCTTCTCGCGCGTTTCGGGGTCAGCCAGCGTACAACCAGGGCTCGAGTGGAGGTTGTCGCGACGGATTCGGTCCAGGGCTAGGCATCCGTGGAACCGATGCCGGGAGGACTGCATCGACCCGCCGGCCAGGGAGACCCGTAGAAACGGCTGTCCCGCTGGCCGCCCGTGGCACAGTACAGGGGCCCGAGCGTTCCTAACCAGTTCGCGAGGCTGCCCCATCATGTCACGCATAATCTCGGGGTGGACCGTCGTGCCGGTTGGTGACCGGGGCGTGGGGTCCCGGCGGCCACTCCCGGGGGGGTGCGGGGGCCCTTCCGTCCGGCGGGTCGGCGTATATCCTTTGCAGGCAATCATTCGGGGAAACATGCCTCCCTAATTTGCCCGGTCTTGTCGCGACAACGTCCACTCGTTTCACGTCTCTTTTTCACTTCCATAATGGCAGCTCCTAAAACAAAGTTTGGACGTTCAGCGGTGCACACCCCCACGCCTTCAACGCTGTTTGAGGTCGAGTTCTGCAACATACGCGGACTCCACTCTAACCTCAACGCTGTCCACCACCATCTTGAGACAGCACGGCCAGCATTGTTGTTCCTGACGGAGACACAAATACTTCCGCCTGCTGACACAGGCTACCTTAATTATCCCGGCTACGTGCTTGAAGAGTCCTTCAAAGCGAAAGCCGGTGTATGCCTGTATGTTCGGGCGGATGTTTGTTGTCGCCGTCTCCGCTGCTTGGAAGATCCCTCCTTCTCCATGCTGGGGGTACACGTCGACTCTGGCCCCCTGGCCAGAGTTTACGTGTGTCT